TCTCTCTCCACACTTACCCTGCTCTACATTCCCATATATATATATCTCAGCTCACCCCAGCAGACAGCTCCTCTCTGTCAGATTTCAGCAGTGAACCTGCTCTGTACTTCTGATCTGCCTGGACCAAACAGGAATGACCACTGCCCTCCAGTACCAGAACCAGCAGCTTGGACTCAGAACCACAGTTACAAAACCCCAGCCGGGACCAGACTCCTACCAGGGCCAAGTGAGACTTAACAGAATTGGACCTCAAGTTGCACTCTCAACACAATCAAAGCACTCCTCTTTTTCCACACCCTGTTTAATTTGATACCCAGACATCAACCAACCAACCACCACATAACCCAAGCAGCTGGACTGTCCTCACCTTACATGTACAGTTGATCTGTCTTTCCTCTCAACCATCACCACTACCAATTCCTCTCACTGACTGCCATTGAGCAGTCAAGTCTGAACCAGATCTCTGACAGACTGTATTTTATTGTCAAAAGAAATCTGAGCTTGGAAGATAATCATGCATTATAATGCGGTTTTCCAGGTTTACGATCTCTAGAAGAAGCCAATCTGGCTCCATTCTGTCTGCCTTGATGTCTATCGCTCTGTGTCTCCATCAATGATGTCATATTATACATACTGTTAATTCAGAAAGTATTCAGACCCCTTGACTTTTTCCACATTTTGTTATGTTACAGCCTTATTCTAAAATTGATTAAATAGTTGTTTTCCGCATTCATCTACACACAATACCCCAGAATGACAAAGCAAATATAGGTTTTTAGAAATGTTTGCAAATTTATAAAGAAGACCAAACTGATTTACATAAGTATTCAGACCCTTTACTCAGTACTTTGTTGAAGTACCTTTGGCAGCGATTACAGCCTTGAGTGTTCTTGGGTATGACGCTTAAAGCTTGGCACACCTGTATTTGGGGAGTTTCTCCCATTCTTCTCTGCAGATCCTCTCAAGCTCTGTCAGGTTGGATGGGGAGCATCGCTGCAGAACTATTTTCAGGTCTCTCCAGAGATGTTCGATCGGGTTCAAGATCGGGCTCTGGCTGGGCCACTCAAGGGCATTCAGAGACTTTCCCCGAAGCCACTCCTGTGTTGTCTTGTCTGTGTGCTAAGGGTCGTTGTCTTGTTGGAAGGTGAGCCTTCTGAGCACTCTGGAGCAGGTTTTCATCAAGGATCTCTCTGTACCATTCATCTTTCCCTCGATCCTGACTAGTCTCCCAGTCCCTCCTGCAGCAAAGCACCCCCACAGCATGATGCTGCCACCCCCGTGCTTCACAGTTGGGATGGTGTTCTTCGGCTTGCAAACGGCCCCCTTTTTCCTCCAAACATAACGATGGTCATTATGGCCAAACGGTTCTATTTTTGTTTCATCAGACCAGAGGAGATTTCTCCAAAAAGTACGCTCTTTGTCCCCATGTGCAGTTGCAAACCGTAGTCTGGCTTTTTTATGGCGGTTTTGGAGCAGTGGCTTCTTCCTTGCTGAGCGGCCTTTCAGGTTATGTCGATATAGGACACGTTTTACTGTGGATATAGATAATTTTGTACCTGTTTCCTCCAGCATCTTCACAAGGTCCTTTGCTGTTGTTCTGGGATTGATTTGCACTTTTCGCACCAAAGGACGTTCATCTCTAGGAGACAGAACGTGTCTCCTTCCTGAGCGGTATGACGGCTGCGTGGTCCCATGGTGTTTATACTTGCGTACTATTGTTTGTACAGATGAACGTGGTACCTTCAGGCATTTGGAAATTGCTCCCAAGGATGAACCAGACTTGTGGAGGTCTACAATTATTTTTCTGAGGTCTTGGCTGTTTTCTTTTGATTTTTCCATGATGTCAAGCAAAGAGGCACTGAGTTTGAAGGTAGGCCTTGAAATACATCCAAAGGTACACCTCCAATTGACTCAAATTATGTCAATTAGCCTATCAGAAGCTTCTAAAGCCATTACATCATTTTCTGGAATTTTCCAAGCTGTTTAAAGGCACAGTCAACTTAGTGTATGTAAACTTCTGACCCACTGGAATTGTGATACAGTAATTATAAGTGAAATAATCTGTCTGTAAACAATTGTTGGAAAAATGACTTGTATCATGCACAAAGTAGATGTCCTAACCGACTTGCCAAAACTATAGTTCGTTAACAAGAAATTTGTGGAGTGGTTGAAAAACGAGTTTTAATGACTCCAACCTAAGTGAATGTAAACTTCCAACTTCAATTGTAAATAAGGTATTTCTGTTCCTTATTTTTTATAAATGTGCAAACAATTTTAAAAACCTGTTTTCGCTTGGTCATTATGGGGTATTGTGTGCAGATTGATGAGGACATTTTTTAATTTAATCCATTGTAGTATTAGGCTGTAACGTAACAAAATGTGGAAAAAGTCAAGGGGTCTGAGTACTTTACAAATGCACTGTATGGTGTCTGTGTGTCCTTGTAAAGGGGATGTATGTAGTGGTGGAGATCACCTTGTGAAGGTAAGTGACCAAATTCCTTAAACAAGGAAGCCATCAGTGCCCGTCCTTATCATGGTAAAGAATAGACTCAGTGTTATCGTATCCTGAAGTCCCAAAATGTAGGCAGAGGACGCCACAATTCATAGGGATTGGGCAGGCAAAAAATAATAATGAAGACTTCAGTACTGAAAGGGTGCCACAATCCTAGTTCATTGTTTTTCTGACTGATTTCAATTGACTTGGTTCCCCTAAGTATATGCTTCTTCTGTATGCCTTTTACTTTTTGTATGTTTCCAATGCTGTGTTTGAGACTTTGCCAGAAGAGTCCAGGAGCAAGCAAACTTCAACACTCCCTCTTATAATTAAGAAATGTTCTGAAGACCTGCTCAAGTTAATGTGTTTGATCATCAAAGATCTGTGAAGTACTGCTTCAAATATTGCCTTGGCAGCTCATGACCATTTGATAATATGAATACCTTCTGCAAGAAGCTTAATGTCTAAGGGATAGTAGAGTGTAAGTGCCTTGGTGTAGCCTGGAATTAGACCCACTGTTTAGAATACTATTGGGAACTATTTCCCCTTTTCAGTGTTCATGTTTGAACACTGCCAAGTGTGAACGATACAAAGATCAAAGGTAAACCAAGAATAGCAACTATTGAGTGAAACCATTCACCAGCATGTGTGTTTGAAAGGTTGCATTTTCCTCAAAGTTGAAGTTTGCATGTCAGATACTTGTTCTTGTGTAGTGTATGGATCAAATAGCTGCTATAGAAGGAACAAGGAAGGGTGAGTCCTCATGGCCATGTTTTTCCTTCACGTTGACCAGTGAATAGCTTCTGACCCCTACAGCCAGATCTCCTACACTTTCAGATTCCATAGAGCAGAGTTTCCCAAACTTGGTCCTCGGGACCCCAAGGGGTGGACGTTTAGTTTTTTGCCTTAACACTACACACTTGATGAATAGTTTATTATTTGAATCAGCTGTGTAGTGCTAGGGCAAAAACCAAAACGTACAATCATTGGGGTCCCGAGGTCAGAGTTTGGGAAACCATGCCATTGAGTGAGCTGGTTTATTTTAGTAATGAAAACGACATCGATTATGACACTTAAACGATTGTGTGTATCTGAGACCAGTGGTGAAAGATGAAGAAATCACTTTTTTTAAGTATTCAACATATTTTTACTCAAGTGTTCATCTATTGCTGTGGTGGCCACCACTCTCATAATTCTCTAACATACTCCTTTGGACAGTATTGATGTACAGTTTCTATACTCCACAATGATGTTTTCATAAGAATATATTACTAGCATCTTTTATTGTTTTTTTAATATCTTCAATCAAAGGAAGGGGTTTAGATTAAACAGGATAGGCCTGCTATTGGGAGGGTCAACATGTCTCTATACTGTAACTATGTATCATGATTAGACAGACTTGGATTATGTTTTGTCAAGATTTTATTTTAATTTGCACTGTCATTGTATTAGCTTTGTTTTGCACCTCACAAGAAATACAGGCAAGGTGAAGGAGGAAAGGGGTGCTCATCAATCCATGTACTGTATATCGATTGGGTCGATGAGAAACAAGGGGTGGAAATAAGGAATGCAATAATGCCATGATCTTCAAGTTTTTGCCACAACCCTATTGGGGAAACCAGGGAATGTAAGCTGGTTAGTGTCCACTGTTAGTCCTTGGATTCATACCACACAGCATACAGAGCAAACCTGCCATTCATATGTGCTAACTGCTGCATTTGAGGACCAAATCCCTAAGGAGGCCAACAGCTTTTCCTGGGAATTGTGTGCCTTTAATTGAATCGGGGGACCAAGAGCCAGGGCTTTATCATGTGATGATACTGTATGTGACACCAGCAAGACTGAGATGGCCATTATCGGGATGAGACTGATTCACTAGAAAGAACATTGATGAAACCTGGGACCATTGTATTTTCCTATCTGTATATTCCTGTTGAGAAACTACTTGTCATACAGTAGCTAGAAGCCCTGTCTTGTTTTTCTCTTCCTCGGTCTATAAATCTCCAGCATCAAAGAGATGTACTTACTGTAAAATTTGTAGTTGTCAATGATTTGGGCAAAAAAAGATGTCAGAACTGTACAAATAAAAGCTCAATAAATAGATGAAGCCTTGACAGTGTGAATAGTCTCTGTTGCACAGTGTCTGACTAGTCTCCAGCCCTCATGTGAAGGCAGAATCTCCCAAATGGAAAGCATTACGCCATGCCAAAACTCATGCATTGTTAAACCTAACCTAATAAACAGATCAACAAAGCAGACAAAAAGCTTCAGAAATCTCCCAAAGAAAAGCTTTTGTTTGATGTGGAAGGGATTTTCCAGTAGAAAGAACAGAGTAGTGCTTCCACCTAAACCTGCATCTATTCAGTCCTATATTCATTGTACTATATTCAGTCCATATCAAAGAGGACAGTGTCAGACAGCACCTCTCCAGGAGTGTGTGTGTGTGCGCGTGTTTGTTGAAAGACACAGCACTCAAGAAACACAACAAATGAAATGACTTGAGTTGGTTCCATACACTGCAAGTGTAATAGGTAAATGCGAAGGGAATCTTCAAAGAGTCTTTATTAAAATAATTCAATTGATATAAAGTAAGTACAACAGTAAAGAGCAGAATTAGACATTTTTACATAAATATATTACAAACAGTCCACAGTTCTAGATAAGATGGTGAGGGGAATTGCTGGTGTCTGGGTGAGAGGGAAGGTGGTATGGACATCAGTGGTCTTTCCCTCTGGGTTCAGTGGCTTTGCCGAGATTCCCCGCTTCCTTCTTTAGTACACTCAGCAGTGTCTGAGAGCTCTCCAGAATCTGAGAGAGCAAGGCATGAATTAACAGAAGACACTCGCCTCAGTCTATGAAATACCATATAGTTTGAGGCAAGTGGGAACAAGATGCAGCGTGACAATGTGCCGTGTAACAATTTGATTGGAAGTCTGACTGAGCACTCTGTTGTTTTTAATTAACGACACTTACGGGCATTTGTTTGCTCTGCCATTAAGCTCTTAGTAACACCAAGGGAGTTGATATTAAGACAACACGTGGGATGTATGTTGTCTTGAATTACTGCAAGTCATCCCAGGGTTCTTTTGTGAGTCAGAAAATGTTGTCTCGCCCTGTACGTTTGTAGGGTATTTTTGCAGTCAAATTAACATGAGCGATACTGTAAAGCTGACATAATATGCATTCAGGGTTTCGTGAGACTAAAATATTGTTGAAAAACCTAAATATAAGGAAGAAAAACAACAAAACTTTAAGAAAAATAAACCCCATAAACCCTGGCCCGTCCTGACCTTCATATAGGCAGCCTCTGTCTCAGCTATGGTGCGGTCAAAGTCAGCGCGGGCGGTGAGTCGTCGGGCCAGGCTCTCATTGACCCGGCTTAGCTTCTCAGTGAGGACGCGGATGTCGTGTTGTAGACGACCCTTCTCCTCCTCCTCCAGCTGTATCTGACGGTTCAACTCATCCCTCTTAGAGCACAGCTCCTCGATACCTGGGGAGAATGAAACAACACTGGCTGTTAGGAGGTGGAATGTAACATTAATGTGGATACGACCATGGTATTCAGATCATGTTCAATTCATGTGCACGTGTCTGTTTTTACAGTGTAGCCTACATCAATTACTTAGAATTATGAATGCTTACCATCAAATATAGCCTGGGCCTACATTCCTAGTCCAAACATCATGTGAATGGTTACAAATATGGGTATTTTAAAGAGAAAACAACCTAGCGGCCTATAACCTATCCTCCTAAATACGTATGTCAGACTTCCTGTGCACAATTTAAGAGGGATAACTGGGAGGGTGAGGTCTAACTGAGGTCCCCCTCACTCAGTACCCTTTTCCTGTTGAATCAGCCCATTCCAGCCTGTGATGGATGAAAGTGTGCGTGTGACAGGGAGTCAATAATACATTCATGAAATCCCACTGCCGGAGGTCACGTCTAATTCCATAGCTACTGACTAAGATCTCTTTCACAGTTTAAGATAGGCATTAGTTGCACCAACACTCCCATCTAATCAGCACCATAACACTAGCCTATATGATTATGATTCATAACAACTGCTGACATAAAATCTATCAAAACTATAATTAATGAGTGGGTTGAGAATCAAGGGTTCAATTGATCTTACAGACAATGCCAATGAAAACAGTCTTACGAAGCAGATCACCTGGGCTAAACTTGACTCGAGACATGTCTGCAAGTCTAGATCATTTCTCCTTGTCATGTCAGATGATGGGCATCTATACATGGACTCTGATTGAAACACAGTTACTCAGAGTTGGATGCATTTAAATTCTGCTCAAGCAGAATGCCTCGTCTTAATTTAAACTGTAAGTGTCAGGGGTTTGATGGCTGTGCTGCAGCAAGCTGAACTATAGTCTGGATATTTCCCATGGGTCTGCTGTAGTCTGGAAGAACTGCAGACAGTATCTGCAGTCCAAACACACGCCTACTACTTGGATACCAACATTCTTGTAACAGTTATATCCCCTCCCACTAAGCACACACTGGGTGTCACAATAAGTGTGTAAATTATCAATGAAGGCTTAAAGAGTTGAAACAAATGTATTTCAAACTAGATATATTTTCTTGACAAGTCAAACAGGCAAACTTCTGCAGAGACTGGGTTCAAGTATAGGGTCTCTTGCTTATAAAATACAGACTAAGGAAGGACATGATTCTGCAATCCCCCTCCCTACCTTTTCAACAAATCAGTTGACTAAATCACACTTACTCTTGTGTAGTGATATAGGAAAAAATAACAACTGTCTGCACATGCACCTAGGGCAATACTGATTTCTATGGGGGAGAAAAGGAAACAGCATCAAAGAGAAAGATAGCCTAGAATCAGGCTGCATCAAAGCAGGGGATAGAAGCAGCATAATCTGTCTAGGTTAGCTAACCAGATTCACAGTCACACGTGCCTAATTAGCTGTAGCTGTCCAAAAGGAGGATCTGGAATATGATAAATTCAGTAAATCTTTATTGTCCCTGAAGGGCCTAAGTGCAGCATAGAAAGACAGGTATTTCCACAACGGAACCAAACAAGTGAAATCAAGAAGCTAACTAGCTAGTTAACGTACAAATTGACATAGTTAGGTGGAAACTAACGTTAGCTAGCTAACTAAAGTAGTATGTTATAAACCAGACTTTGTGTCTGTCAAAACACAAGTTAACTGACAAATATACGAAATGCCACAATCACTTACATTTGACAAGCTCATTGTTGTAGGTTTGTAGTGCTGCTCCTTGTTGGGTCATGATGTTGTCGATTATACTTACTTTTCCAGCTCTTTACCGCCCTTGCCCGCGCACACAGTCAGTGTGCTAGCTACGTTAGTTAGCGACTCAATGATAACTTTGCAGTTTGAAGACAATATATTGCTAGGTCTAACTAGTTGGCAAACTGGCTAATTTGTGCAAAGACTTAGGCAGTCGAAATGAACTCCTTCTCGACACCGAAGCCGTCCTTAGCTAGCTTCAAAATCCCTCCATTTAGCTAGTTTCCACGACAACTTGCTAACAAACTGTCACGTACACTTCCGCCACACTTTTATGACTTCCGCACCCACAAATACGTCACTATTATGCGCCACAGGCTTAGCAAGAGCGCGATAACTTCAATCATATGGCATCTGTAATTACATTTTACATACATATTAGTATTTCTTATAAGCCATGCTACGTACATCTTCATATGGGTGAGTGATATAACACAGACGATAACTTTGTCAATACACAATCGAGTGGTTCTCGTAATTTGGTCCAACCGGGATGATGATGGACTCCACAGAGATGTTATTCTCAGTACCACAGGGGCTACCTTCTGCTTGGGACACCGTAACTGCAGCTCTGGTGAGTAGATGGACCTAACTTGCCTGCGGTAGTATCTTGTGTTGTTGACATAACCTGCTTGCCTTTTATGTATATAATTAAATCAGATCAATTGTACCACTGTGGTTGACTGCTGGACATAGCAGCTAGCTAACGTTAACATATTCACATGCCAGGCATTAGCTAACTAGCTAAGACCAATGTTGATCTATCATACATCCCATAGTCCGTATTTGTTTATAAGAACATAAACAATTTCCTCTGTCTGTAGGTGTCTCCAGTGTCCAATGACATCACCATGTCTGATGAGTCTCTCTCTGAGGGGCTAAACCTGCTGTGCTCTAACAGCCTGGGACAGTTTCTGGAGGGATGGCTAATGGAGACCCTGCAGGTGCGTCTGACTACTGCCATTGCCCCTGAGTTCTGGGCTGGAATGAAGCAACCAGAGAATGAGCTGGAGGAGAAGGACAGGGCCAGGATCCTACTCATGGCCTTCCGTACCCTTTTGGACAGACTGCAACCTTTCCTAGGTGGGTTCAAACATTCAAGTTACAGTTAATTGCACCCTTAATAATGCTAGAATTTTGACTGAACAGAATGTTGTCAAATGCGTAAAAATGTGCTCTCTGTCCCTTTCCCCAGGAGGGTTGGAGAGGCTGGGTACCTGGCAGGACGAGGGCCGGGGTGGTCTGTGTGGCCCTGGGGCCAGGGGTCTCCGTGAGAGGGCCTTCTCCGTCATCAGGGCCATCCTGCTGTTCTCCCCCTCAGCTGTGCTCCAGGAGAGAATACTGGAGTTCTACAGTAGGACTTTCTCTGTCCACATGAGCCAGGAGGGGGAGGCAGGGGAGGCTGAGGAGGGGAGTGGGGGGCCTGAGGGGGGCGTCTGTCAGGGCTGCACTGTCCCCACTCAGCAGTGTTGGTGTCAGCAGGCCCTGGAGCAGCTGCAAGAGCTCAGCCACGTACTGTGAGTGAATGGAGGGGTGGCTGTGTCACTGTCTGCTCTGTTTTCTAGACTCTAATTGTTGTACTGCTTAACATCTTACATTCAAATATGACAACAACAAACAACATCACAAATGTCTTATTGTCACAGATCAGGGTTCACTTCCTTAACCATTGTCTACTTCTCTACCTTTGTCTGCCTGCTGTGTTTGAAATGTATCTTGTGTAGTTGCCTCTACCTACAAATCTGCTAAAGTGTGATTGTCCCGCCCCCCAGATCCAGGTTGCAGCTATTGGAGCGGGTCAGCTCAGAGGCGGTGACGTCCATCTTACACAAACTGATAGAGCAGCGGATGGAGCAGCACTGCAGGGGGGAGTACGAGAGCTCTTTCCTCTTCGACTTTCAGGAGGTACAGTAGACCAAAGAGCCTGTCTATGGGAGGACCACCTCACAGAATGAAGTGGCATGACCTATCAACAAGTTGGACTTTTCCAGCTTGCCTTATTCAACAGAATAGGTTGCTGACCAAATATGATGTGTCTATAAAACAATTTACTACACCAAGTCCAAATCTCAGAAATGTGATCATTTATCTGTTTTACTTATTCTCTTACTTAAAAACATTCTCCCAATTCTCTCTTTCATTCTCTCTTTCTCCAGTGGCTAGAGCTGGTGTTGGGCTGGTTGAGCAGGGTGTTTGCCAGTGATGTGGGTGGACTGGGCACTGTGCCCAATGGCACAGGCAGCGGGGCTGGGGAGGTGGGCCAACCAGCCAACGCCGTGCTGCAGCGCTGGAGGTGTCACATGCACCAGTTCTTCTGCAGGATCTACGTCAACATGAGGATTGAGGAGCTCTTCAGCATCATCAGAGGTGAGGGGTTAGGGAACAGAGAGAGGAGATAGGGAGATGGTGAATAATAAGAGAAAGCAGTCAATGTTGGGGCGCTTGATGGCATAGGGAAGAGATTTGGTGGGACGGATGAGATACAGAGAGGATGGAGAGTTGTGGTTGTTTCTTCCTCCCTCACATGCTGTGGTTTGTTCTGTCCCTGTCAGATTTCCCCGAGTCAAAGCCTGCCATCGATGACCTCAAGTTCTGCCTGGAGAGAACCAATCAGAGGCAGCAGCTCCTCACGTCCCTTAAGACAGCGTTTGAGACTCGTCTGCTTCACCCAGGTCAGTGAACCGATGGCGGATTACAAACAATGACTGGTGTTTGCTGTTTATTTTGTCTGTTACACATTTAAAGCAGTGAAGACTAAGTGTTGTTTGCAAACATAATGTTAGAGAAGAAACTAGACTTGTGTATATGAATCCCATCCCAACAACATTCCTCTTCCCCTCTAGGAGTCCATACCTCTGACATCATCACTGTGTACATCTCGGCCATAAAGGCCCTACGGGAACTGGACCCATCCATGGTCATCCTGCAGGTTGCGTGCCAACCAATCCGCAAGTACCTCAGGTGGGTGCACGTGTATTATTGTAATATGTATTTACACTGAACAAAAATATAAACGCAGCATGCAATAATTTCAAAGATTTTACTGAGTTACAGTTCATATAAGGAAATGAGTCAATTGAAATTAAATCATTAGGCCCTAATCTATGGATTTTACATGACTGGGAATACAGATATGCATCGGTTGGTCACAGATACCTTTAAAAAAAGGCAGGGGCGTGGATCAGAAAACCAGTCAGTATCTTGTGTGACCACCATTTGTCTCATGCAGCGCGACATGTCTCCTTCGCATAGAGTTGATCAGGCTGTTCATTGTGGCCTGTGGAATGTTGTCCCACTCCTCTTCAATGGCTGTGCAAAGTTGCTGGATATTGGCAGGAACTGGAACATGCTGTCATACAAGTTGATCCAGAGCATTACAAACATGCTCAATGGGTGACATGCCTGGTGAGTATGCAGACCATGGAAGAACTGGGACATTTTCAGCTTCAAGGAATTGTGTACAGGTCATTGTGACATGGGGCTGTGCATTATCATGCTGAAACATGAGGTGATGGTGGCGGATGAATGGCACAACAATGGGCTTCGATCTCATCACGGTATCTCTGTGCATTAAAATTGCCATCGATAAAATGCAATTGTGTTCGTTGTCCGTAGCTTATGCCTGCCCATACCATAACCCCACCGCCAACCATGGGGCACTCTGTTCATAACATTGACATCATCAATCCGCTCGCCCACACGGTCGCCATACACACGGTCTGCCATCTGCCTGGTACAGTTGAGACTGGGATTCATCCGTGAAGAGCACACTTCTCCAGCGTGCCAGTGGCCATCGAAGGTGAGCATTTTCCCACTGAAGTCAGTTACGACTCAGAACTGCAGTCAGGTCATGACCACGCTGATGAGCTTTCCTGAGACTGTTTCTGACAGTTTATGCAGAAATTATTTGGTTATGCAAACCCACAGTTTCATCAGCTGTCCGGGTGGCTGGTCTCAGACGATCCTGCAGGTGAAGAAGCCGGATGTGGAGGTCCTGGGCTGGCGTGTTTACACGTGGTCTGCGGTTGTGAGGTCGGTTGGACCTACTGACAAATTCTCTAAAACGACGTTGGAGGCAGCTTATGGTAGAGCAATGAACATTCAATTCTCTGGCAACAGTTCTGGTGGACATTCCTGCAGTCAGCATGCCAATTGCACCCTCCCTCAACTTGAGACATCTGTGTTGCTTTGTTGAGTGACAAAACTGCACATTTCAGAGTGGCCTTTTATTGTCCCCAGCACAAGGTGCACCTGAGTAATGATCATGCTGTTTAATCAGCTTCACACCTGTCAGGTGGATGGATTATCTTAGCAAAGGAGAAATGCTCAATAACAGGGAAGTAAACACATTTGTACACAAAATTAGAGAGAAATATGCTTTTGTGCGTTTGGAAAATTTCAGGGATATTTTATTTCAGTTCATGAAACATGGGACCAACACTTTACATGTTGCATTGGGAGGCAAAATGTTAGAGAATATTGTTCTCTACTGGAACCAACAGGACCCTGAACAGCTTCTACCCCAAGCCATAAGACTGCTAAATAGTTAGTCCAGGTAGCTATTGGTTAACTATTTAACCATTGGCATTGACCCTTTTTGCACTAACTCTTTTGACTCATCACATACACTGTTGCTATTGTTTATTATCTATTCTGTTGCCTAGTCACTTTATCCCTACCTATATATACATACACTACATGACGAAAAGTATGTGGACACCTGCTTGTCGAACATCTCATTCCAAAATCATGGCCATTAGTATGGAGTTGGTCCCCCCTTTGCTGCTATAACAGCCTCCACCCTTCTGGAAAGGCTTTCCACTAGATATTGTAACATTGCTGTGGGGACTTGCTTCCATTCAGCCACGAGCATTAGTGAGGTTTGGCACTGATGTTGGGAAATTAGGCCTGGCTCGCAGTCGGCATTCCAATTTATCCCAAAGGTGTTCGATGGGGTTGAGGTCAGGGCTCTGTGCAGGCCAGTCAGGTTCTTCCACACCGATCTCGACAAACCATTTCTGTATGGACCTCGTTTTGTGCATGGGGGCATTGTCATGCTGAAACAGGAAAGGGCCTTCCATAAACTCTTGCCACAAAGTTGGAAGCACAGAATCGTCGAGAATGTCATTGTATGCTGTAGCGTTAAGATTTCCCTTCACTTGAACTAAGGAGCCTAGCCCGATCCATGAAAAATAGCCCCAGACCATTATTCCTCCTCCACCAAACTTTACAGTTGGCACTACGCATTTGGGCAGGTAGCGTTCTCCTGGCATCCGCCAAACCCAGATTAGTCCGTCAGACTGCCAGATGGTGAAGTGTGATTTATCACTCCAGAGAACGCATTTCCACTGCTCCAGAGTCCAATGGCAGTGAGCTTTACACCACTCCAGCCGACGCTTGGCATTGCACATGGTGATCTTAGGCTTGTGTGCGAACAGTTATTGTGCTGACGTTGCTTCCAGAGGCAGTTTGGAACTCGGTAGTGAGTGTTGCAACCGAGTACAGACAATTTTTACACGCTACGTGCTTCAGCACTAGGCGGTCCAATCTGTGAGCTTGTGTAGCTTACCACTTAGTGGCTAAGCCGTTGTTGCTCCTAGACGTTTCCACTTCACAATAACAGTACAGTACAGGGCAGCTCTAGCAGGGCAGAAATTTGACGAAATAACGTGTTGGAAAGGTGGCATCCTATGACGTTTCCATGTTGGAAGTCACTGAGCTCTTCAGTAAGGCCATTCTACTGCCAATGTTTGTCTATGGAGATTGCATGGCGGTGTGCTCGATTTTATACACCTGTCAGCAACAGGTGTCGCTGAAATAGCCAAATCCACTAATTTGAAGGGGTGTCCACATACTTTTGTATATATAGTGTATCTACCTCAATTACCTCGTACCCACTGCACATCGACTCGGTACTGGTACCCCGTGTATATAGCCAAGTTGTCGTTACTCATTGTGTATTTATTCCTTGTGTTATTACTTTTATTTCTCTATTTTTCTATTTTGTATTGTTGGGAAGGGCCGTAAGTAAGCATTTCACTGTTAGTCTACACCTGTTGTTTACGAAGTATGTGACAAATAACATTTGATTTGATACTTGACTGATTTGATTCCCATAGCATATTGCTGTTGAGTTGCTGTGATGTTGACATGACGTTGATGTAATGTTTGTGTGCTGTTGCTAGGACGCGGGAGGACACAGTGCGTCAGATAGTGGCCAGCCTTACTGGAGATGCGGAGGGCTGCAGTGACCTGGCCAATGAGTTGTCCCGTGCCGACCCCGTGACCCTGGAGACCCAGGACAGTGAGGACGAGGGCAGCGACCCAGAGGAATGGACCCCAGACCCTAAGGATGCTGTCACAGGTCAGACCCTCCGTGTACCCACCTTACACACACTGCAATCTCTTACTCTGTGAACTCCAATTCTCCAATGGAGATGTAGTGTGATTATCACTACAAAGGGCATGTCTATCTGGTTGTCATCACACTAGACAAACTGTGTCAGTTTCCTGTTTCTGCTGTATTGAACTAGAATTGCTCGAAAAGAACACCTCTCCAACACATCTCTTTCACTAAATGTAAAATCATCTTCCTTATTCACCTCTCAGACAAGACAGGGTCTAAGCGACGTTCGTCTGACATCATCACTCTTCTGGTCAGCATATATGGCAGTAAAGAGATTTTCATAGACGAGTACAGAACTGTCCTGGCAGACAGACTGCTCCACCAGTTCAACTACAATACAGCCAGGTACGCAACACTCGTGTACAGTAACTAGTACCTTCACTCCAAAGGCATGTATCCCAATGCTATACAGTACATTACTCACTTCACTCCTTTACTGTACACCATGAGATCCTACTACTCAGCATCCATCAACACACTTGAGACCCTTTGGAATCACTATTAGTACACAGATATACTGGTGTTGGTAGTCTTGTTGATTATAATGGATTCTCTGTGTGGACATTTGGGTGAGTGAAATCGTGGCATATTTTTTCTGTAAATCACTTTTCTCATGTGCCTCCAGGGAGATCCGTAATGTGGAGTTGCTCAAACTGAGATTCGGAGAGTCCCATATGCACTACTGTGAGGTGATGCTAAAGGTAAAGTACTGTACATACAGTAAGTACTCTGTGTCTCCTTAAGTTCCCATTCATACCAGTGTGAGCTTTGACATCATGACTCCCTAGCTGTGTCACAACTGATCACCATCAGAATATGTGAGCGGAGTTGAGCGGTCGCAAATCCTGCTCATTGCTCATGGAGAGGTGCTTGCGCACCACTCCAGCACTCCATGTCCTTTCCAACCACTCCGCTAAAAATCGCCCCTCGCTCACAGGGGAAAAAACTGCCGCTCCATTCATTAAAATCACAATTTAACCAACACCCATCTATTTTTGTGATTACCTTGACCTACGATTTGGTTTTGAAGTATTGAAACCAAACCATATGATTTGAATGAAAAGTATTTTAATAAACAACAGGAAAAGGTGGCTGTAAGAAGCGCTCATCATCTCAAATAGGCTACATGTCGTATTAAACAGCATATAAACACTAAATAGGTCAGGACAGGAGCCAGACAGGTAGTCTAAGAAGGAATGAAAATTAATTATGGCTATATTATTTCAATTATTTCAAGGCGATAGCCTACAAAGAAATACATTTTGAAGCATTTGCGAGTGCGACACACTAGGCTAGCAGGGACATTAAGCTCTCAGCATTTAAACAACATTTAGTTACATTAAATCATTATAGTCTATAAATTGCACATATAGGCGGTGACTTAAAATGAAATACAAATTAAACGACAAATGCCTTATTAGGCTCATTAGTGCCTTTGAATTCATTTTTAGAAACACGAGTTTGGCCAGAGTCTGTGGGTTCAGGCTCATGCGATGGTGCCTGGAGAGCAGGCCAGCAGTGGAGAATATCCTCTCCGCGCTTGCAGAGCCACTGGGGATGCTAAACACCCTTCGGCCACTCTTGCCAGGCAGGGCAGGATACCTCTTTCAAGGTAAACTCCTGGAAAGAGGTAATATGCCAGGCCTATTGGGCCAAAATCAATGATGGCCAATTGAATAGATAAATGAACGAAACGGAACAAAACTTTTAAGAGATATATAATTTTTCGTTTCTAAATACTTTGCTACAATGACACACTTAGCTAACTACTGACCTCATTCCTTTCTGTTAGCATGTGCATGTAGTAAGTACACCATCATGCTTTCGGGATACAGTGCCTTGCAAAAGTATTCATCCCCCTTGGTGTTTTTCCTATTTTGTTTCATTACAACCTGTAATTTAAATGGATTTTTATTTGGATGTCATGTAATGGACATACACAAAATAGTCAAAATTGGTGAAAAAAATAACTTGTTAAAAAAAATAATAACGGGAAAGTGGTGCGTGCATATGTATTCACCCCCTTTGCTATGAAGCCCCAAAATAAGATCTGGTGCAACCAATTACCTTCAGAAGTCACATAATTAGTTAGATTGCACACAGGTGGACTTTTATTTAAGTGTCACATGATCTGTCACATGATCTCAGTGTATATATATACACCTGTTCTGAAAGGCCCCAGAGTCTGCAACACGACTAAGCAAGAGGCACCACCAAGCATGCAGCACCATGAAGACCAAGGAGCTCTCCAAACAGGTCAGGGACAAAGTTGTGGAGAAGTACAGATCAGGGTTGAGTTATAAAAAATATCCGAAACTTTCAACATCCCACGGAGCACCATTAAATCCATTATTAAAAAATTGAAAGAATATAGCACCACATCAAACCTGCCAAGAGAGGGCTGCCCAACAAAACTCACGGACCAGGCAAGGAGGGCATTAATCAGAGAGGCAACAAAGAGACCAAAGATAACCCTGAAGGAGCTGCAAAGCTCCACAGCGGAGATTGGCGTATCTGTCCATAGGACCACTTTAAGCTGTACACTCCACAGAGCTGGGCTATATGGAAGAGTGGCCAGAAAAAAGCCATTGCTTAAAGGAAAAAATAAGCAAACATGTTTGGTGTTCGCCAAAAGGCATGTGGGAGACTCCCCAAACATATGGGAGAAGGTACTCTGGTCAGATGAGACTAAAATTGAGCTTTTTGGCCATCAAGGAAAACGCTATGTCTGGAGCAAACCCAACACCTCTCATCACCCCGAGAACACCATCCCCACAGTGAAGCGTGGTGGTGGCAGCATCATGCTGTGGGGATGTTTTTCATCGGCAGGGACTGGGAAACTGGTCAGAATTGAAGGAATGATGGATTGCGCTAAATACAGGGAAATTCTTGAGGGAAACCTGTTTCAGTCTTCCAGAGATTTGAGACTGGGACGGAGGTTCACCTTCCAGCAGGACAATGACCCTAAGCATACTGCTAAAGCAACACTTGAGTGGTTTAAGGGGAAACATTTAAATGTCTTGGAATGGCCTAGTCAAAGCCCAGACCTCAATCCAATTAAGAATCTGTGGTATGACTTAAAGATTGCTGTACACCAGAGGAACCCATCCAACTTAAAGGAGCTGGAGCAGTTTTGCCTTGAAGAATGGGCAAAAATCCCAGTGGCTAGATGTGCCAAGCTTATAGACACATACCCCAAGAGACTTGCAGCTGTAATTGCTGCAAAAGGTGGCTCTACAAGGTATTGACTTTGGGGGGGTGAATAGTTATGCACACTCAAATTTTCTGTTTTTTTGTCTTATTTCTTGTTTGTTTCACAATAAAAAATATTTTGCATCTTCAAAGTGGTAGGCATGTTGTGTAAATCAAATGATATAAACCCCCCAAAAGACAATTATAATTCCAGGTTGTAAGGCAACAAAATTTGAAAAATGCCAAGGGGGTTGAATACTTTCGCAAGCCACTGTATGTGTCTTTTCAGATTCCACAATTATTATTTAGTTGTGGACACTACATCACCACACTCCCTCTCTTGCTCTTAGTCCTCCTCATCTTTGTAAGTCACCTTGAATTTTCACCTGTTTGTTTTATCTGTTTCTTTATGGAAATATTTAGCAAACTCCATGACAGTAGCTAAAGCAAGGGGCTATAGCAGCACACAAGTAGACTACAAATGCATGCTGGGACGGCATGCCCTGAGCTCCTGAAGTGAGCGCTACTGAAGCGAAATTGGAGCGGGCGAGAAGGCCAAAGCTCCAGCCTTGGGGAAACTCGCTCCAGTCAAATTGGGCACACTCTGCTCCTCACTCCGCTCCAGCTCCGCTCACATACTCTGATCACCACTGATCAAAGCAGTATCTTTAAAAATACATGCAGTCCCATCTATCATAGGATAAAAGCTGAGGACACAGGACAGTACGAGGAAAGGTGGCCATTTTAAGCACTTTAGGACAGAGCCTCACTCTCTTCTCCTCTCTTCCCTCTCTCTCTCCAGGACGTGGCTGACTCACGAAGGATCAACACCAACATCCGTGAGGAGGAGTCCAGGGTGGCTGAGGAGGAGCAGCCCCCCCTGGCCCTGTCAGCCATGATCCTGTCCTCTGAATTCTGGCCCACGCTGAAGGAGGAGAAGATGGAGCTCCCGCCCCTGGCCTCCCAAGCCATGGAGGCCTACACACACCGCTACGAGAAACTCAAGGTACCTGATGATGGAGCTGTAGCCTGGCTGCCAGTCTGTTTCTGCTTTAGTCAAGTCTTTATAAACAGACTGGCAGCCAGGCCAACAGAGTATGAATAGTATGAATCTCCCCAGGCAATGAGGACCCTTAGCTGGAAGCCTCATCTGGGCTCAGTGACCCTGGATGTGGAGCTGGAGGACAGGACTCTGACTAACCTGACTGTGTCCCCCATCCATGCTGCCATCATCCTGCACTTCCAGGACAAAAGTTAGTACTCTGGCCATCACAGGCTGCCTTATGTACAACTTATCAATGCATACAAACATTGTATGAGTAACTAAGATTTACCTTTACCATCTTTCTCTCTCTCTCTGTCTGTCTGTCTCTGTCTCTCTCTCTGTCTGTCTGTCTCTGTCTCTCTATGTCTCTCTCTCTCGGTCTCTCTCTCTCTGTCTATGTGTCCTGAAGGCTCGTGGACTCTGGAGGAGCTGAGTGGGGTCCTGGGCGTGCCCCAGGAGATGGTGAGGAGGAAGTTGGCTCTGTGGCAGCAGCAGGGGGTCCTAAAGGAGGAGGCGGGGGGGCGCTACTCTGTCCTGGAGAAGGGCTCATCCCGGGAGAGACCTGAGAGAGGGGTGATGTTGATTGACAGTGACGAGGAGGGAGACTCCAACACCACCACCCAGTCAGAGCAGAGGGAGGAGAAACTACAGGTTCAGTGCACACACACACATTGGAGGCATGGAATTCAAATACAAATCTCCTGTCAAATAAAAATCAAGCTAGCCCTAACAGCAGTGTTCTCTCTCCCCTGTGTGCGTGGTTGTTGGTGCAGTTGTTCTGGGCCTACATCCAGGCCATGCTGACCAACCTGGAGACCATGACCCTAGAGCGCATCCACTCCATGCTCAGGATGTTCGTTGCCACGGGACCCATTGTCACGGAGATGGACGTGAACGAGCTGCAGGCCTTCCTGCAGAGGAAAGTGCGAGACCATCAGCTCATCGTGTCCTCAGGCGTCTACAGACTGCCCAAGTCCACCAACTGAGGATGGGGAGAAGAGAGGAGGAGAAAATAGGAGGTTCAACTGAAAAGCGGAGGTATCTGATTAGTTTCCGAAATGTACATGATGCAGCATTGCAGTCGGAGACTACAGTTTCAAAGAATAACCTTTTCAGGAATAGGCTTGGAAGGCAACTGAAAATGCCAAGCATTGTGCTGTATTACTATGTCTTACTATACTAATGGCTATAAGGAGCATGAACCTCTCATTCTGTCTTTATGGTTGACCATCCAGGTTGCTTGACTTTGTTATGAGTTTTGGAGGACTCAAAATCATACTATCAATGTGTTTCAGCGACCATTGTGTTCTGATGCTTTTAAAACAAAGTTGCACATTGAATTGACACATGGTTGGACTTTGTGTAGTTTGGAGTTCCCTGTTTGATAATATGACAATTGTCTGAGTTAATAAAAATACATGAATATGTAATATGATTGTATTTGTCTTAAAGATTATTGTAGAGCTTGCCGAAATGAAGTCATGTGAGGAACCCCTGACCTCTAGTGGATCATTGTGGAATCTCAGATTTGTGTAAATGAAATTCAGCGTCTGAGTTTGGAATGTGTACTACATGCTTGGATTTTTCTTTATTCAACTCTCACGGAGTTTAACACAAGGCTTGCAACACAACTGCTGAAATTGTGTCTTCCAGATTATTGTCAAAACCAATTCATATTGAACTGATCATCTCTTGTCCTGGTCCTAGAGACCCACATGGAGTGCAGGTTTTTGTTCCAGCCCAGTACGAACACCTGATTCAAGGGTAGTTTAATCAGTTCTGTTAGTGCTATGGCGAAACAAAAGCTTGCACACCCTGTCGGTCTCAAGGACCAGGTTTGAAGAACAGTGACAGCAGGCAGGGGGCGCCTCTTCCTAGTCTTTCTCAGACCTGTGAAATGACGTGTGGGGGGTGCACTGAAGGTTTCTGTGATTTAAATTCCAGTCATTTGGATGGCTGTTATCAAGCTCGGAGGGGGGAGTTAATGAACATCAGTTCGAGCAATGCGCAGAAATGAACAACGCACAGAATCACTCTGCTAGATAACCATAAGAGCAACGTTAAAGATGATACATGACACATGGATTACCTAAACATTTCTTCTATTAACTAAAGTTGCATTTCAATAGAGAGCCATATGGTTAAGTTTCAGGACAGTAAGGCGTCTTACTTCTCTCCAGGTGAACACACGAGGTCCGTTTTCTTGGATTTGTTTTGTACTTCAAGTTAAAGCAATGGGATATAAAACGGATCTTGGATACTGTTTCGTTGTGGTATTCACATACTCTCTCATATCCAGGTGTCGAACAAAAATGGGAAATAATATCACAGTTGCGGTGATGCTTCCCGACGATTACCACAAGTATCCCTGGGCTTTGCCTCGGGTTTTCCCAGCAATTATTATGGCGAACGAGAATCTTCAGAAGAAGCACGGAGTTCTCCAAGGCCACTCAATTCAACTCTTGAATTTCAGCACGGAGGATTCAACCGGTGTCTGCGCAGAAAATAAGGCACAAATTATCGCCGTGGACACCAAACTTTATAATAAACCAGATGCTTTCTTTGGACCTGGTTGCGTGTATTCAGTGGCCTCAGTTGGAAGGTTTGCATCCCATTGGAAACTCCCATTGATAACTGCGGGAGGAACGGCATATGGGTTTGATAACAGGGATGAGTACAAAACGATTGTGCGCACCGGACCCTCGAGCATAAAATTGGGAGACTTTGCAAGCAGTATTCACTCGCACTTTAATTGGACCTCTCGTGCCATTCTGATTTTTCACGATATGAAAAAAGATGACCGACCTCACTACTTCCTCTCTGAAGGCATTTACATAATTTTGAAGGCAGAAAATGTCACAGTTGATGCCTTGCCGTATCGAGACTCACCAAGCTATTATAAAGAAATCATTACTTTCATGAAAGACCACGGAAGAAGTAAGTCTATAAATTGGCTATTTCCACATATGAAATGTGGATATTTCCATAATAAGATAGCCTAAATATTTGGAACATTGTCTTGATAGTAGGCTAATATGATATTTGGGCTTACGTTTTTAATTTACCCGTAGCCAATGTTGGTCATATACACCATATACACTGAGTGTACAAAACATTAGGAACACCTTCCTTAGATTGAGTTCACCCCCTTTTGCCATCAGAACAGCCTCAATTCGTCGGGGCATGGACTCTACAAGGTGTCGAAAGCGTTCCACAGGGATGCTGGCCCATGTTGACTCCAATGCTTCCCACAGTTGTGTCAAGTTGTCTGGATGCCCTTTGAGTGGTGGACCATTCTTGATACACACGGGAATCTGCTGAGCGTGAAAGACCCAGCAGCGTTGCAGTTGTAGACACACTCAAACCGGTGCGCCTGGCACCAACTACAATACCCTGTTCAAAGGCATTTCAATGTTTTGTCTTGCCCATTCACACTCTGAATGGCACACATACACAATCCATTTCTCAATTGTCTCAAGGCTTAAAAATCATTTTTTAACTTGTCACGTCCCCTTCATCTACACTGGTTGAAGTGGATTTAACAAGTGACATCAAAAAGAGATCATAGCTTTCACCTGGATTCACTTGGTCAGTCTGTCATGGAAAGAGCAGGTGTTCCTAATGTTTAGTCAAAGCATATTCTTACAATAATATTCAACTAAATTATGAGTTGGTATTACATTACAGTGGATTTAAACCTGTTCTTGGTATACTTATTTAATATAAAAACAAATTTAGTAGGCCTAGCCTACCTATTACATGTTTTTATTTAACTTTTATTTATTCAGGTGAGCCCCAATTGAGACCAGGGTCTCATTCACAATGGTGCTCTGAGAACAAACAACTCACAACATAATTCAATAAATCAGTAAACAGTAAAAAAGAAACTACAAAGATACAGCATATAGACACACCACATCTCAACAACACAAATAAACCCCCACAATCATCCAAAACACTTGGAAACCTCACTGCATTCATCCCTCATCAGTGTTTTAAACTTCCATATTGGCACCAGGGATTCAAGATATAATGAGGTTTGTAAATTATTCCAACGATGGGGGGCATTAAAACTAAAGGCTGATTTACCTAGGTTGGTAGAGACACGAAGGACCTCAAGAGTTAACCAACCCTGTCAGCGGGTTTGGTGGCCCGTATTTTTGTACTTTAACAGAGAAGTGAGATGTGTTGAAAGCTTGTGCAGAAGAGCTTTGTAAACAAAAAGGGAGAAATGAAGACAGTAAAGAATGCACTTCTATGCCCAGTGTGTGTCTTACCAGACCACCGTTTATTGCTGTGAACCACCTGCGTAATCACTGAAAGTGTGTTTGTGTGTGTGAGAGAGAGAGATTATGAAACTTGAATAATTCTTGTAAATATTCAGTTTTACCTGTAATAAGGCTAAGGCATTATTATTGTTAATTAATTAGCCTATAATGGCCCAATGTTAATTTCCAATATCAGGGCGTGTTGACTCACAGCAGCTTGTATTCCAGCTCATTCTATTTACACTTCACCGTTATGTACATGATGTAGCCTATTGCTTATTTCAAAACAATTAAAAATAAATGCTTATCATTACACAATTAGTGTTGATTGTTTACCTAGTGTCAAATTGTATTGACACACAGCTGTTTTAACAGTTTCATGGTAATCCCCACTGTATGATGTTATTACAACTGTATAATTTTCATTTGATTAACCCCAAAACAATTTTAGGAATTGTTAATTAATCCTCACTACTTGTAATGGGCTGAGAAAGCATATAAACAGAGACTCTACCAAGTCATCACACACACATCACTCTACATTATCATTTTTTCTGACTTCAGAGATACATTTTAATATATTATTGATAGTGATGTAGAGAGATTTTGTCTGTAGAGACCCATTAGACCTCTGTCTTACTACAACATGTACTCTGATTTATTGTTTGATGTGGCAAATGACCCGTTGTGTTGACAGGTCTAAGGTTGAATTTGGGTAATTTGTTTGCTACCAGTTATTTGTGAGCGTTTTCTCTCTGTTAATCATTTCTCACGTCAGGAACAGGCAGCTCACAGTTGCCTTATGCAGCTAGACTTCTTTGTTGTTTACCCTTATCAACACAATTAAGTGGCATCAATGCTTTTTGTTGTTATAAATTCAGACTAAGTATTTTAGGAATTTGTTGCTTTCAAACTCTTCATATTATTTGGTAACTCAGAATCCATCAAAATTGGATGCTGCATATCAATAACATAATGGAATGATGTTAACGATAAATTCTACTGACATAGTTGCATCAGCTAAACAATCACCTTGGACCATAGTGTTATACTGCAATATCAAAATATCTATACCAGTAGAGGGGAATTGGAGTGTTGAAAGTCCAACAGCGAAATGCAAATACTGCTAAAAACTATGATCAATGTTCTGAAGCTGGCAAGTGATATTGATGTGTGCTTTGGCCCAGAACTGTTCTGTTTGTAGGAAACATCTGATGCTGTGTGTTGGTTAAGGTGCATCTGGAAAAAGTAAAGGCACTGAACTCTTTCACATCATCTGGGAAGATACTGGCCTTTGGTTTTCTCAATAACTCTAAAACGTTACTATAACTACAAAATGATACTCTTGGCTCACTGTTTTCATCCATAGTTCTTGTCAGGGTACTGATTAGAAATCAGTGGATCAGAACATTATAGACTAGAGTGACTCTGCATTAACCAGCATAGCACAGAATACAGATACGACTGTGTTGTCAATGAGTGATGCATGTAAATTACTGGGTTTATTTGCTTTTAAAGCACTTTAAAAAACTTTTCCAGCAGTAAGATTAACAAATAGTGCAATAAACACTGCATATGGTACTTAACTAGTGTTATATCAGGAAATGGCATTTTGAAAGCTGCCAAACCTCTTAGCTGAATTATGGGCCCGCCATGGTGAGGTTGGGGTCACGGAAGCTAATGGTTTTGTCAGGGCTTGTCCAAGCTTGGAGTTCTGGCTTGACATTCCATTCACATTTATCCCTATGAGATCACCAACATATAACCCCTGGATTGTCAACCTTTACCTCAACTGAGTGGTCTCTCATTTTGGTCGACGTCTTGACAATACTGTTTAGTGTTGAGTGTTGATTGTTTTTAAGCCAGTTGTTGTCAGGTACAGATTTGTATTGTAAATTGATGCACTCCAACACAGTCCCTCTGATTTTGTGTTCTGAATCTGATAGGAAAACCTTTTGAAGTCTAATTATTAGCTTCCTATCAGATTTGTTCATGAAAAAAGAGCAATGGTAGAAACATGTAATATCTCCCCAAAAAACATTTAACTGCCTGAAATTGACAAACCTAAACAACCAGACTGAATATGAGGCCAATAATGTTTTATAAAATCCCACCAGGTTACCTCTGGAAAAGCTCACACCTTGTTAATTTTCAGACCACTAAAAGCACACATACACAGGAAGGAAATGCCAAATGGCTGAAAGGAAGAATACATCAAGCTGTGTTTTTTTCTTTTGTGGAGGTACATATGTGAATGTTTGTTGCAGACTACATGAGTGCTAACAGGGTTGCCAACATAATGGAGCACAGGTACTATATAGGCCCCTCACTGAAATCACACAAAGTGAGTTTCCTGTCAAATAATACCTGTGCTCTACCAGTCAAAAGTTTGGACACACCTACTCATTCAAGGGTTTTTCTTTATTTTTACATTGTAGAATAATAGTGAAGACATCAAAACTATGAAATAACACGTATGGAATCATGTAGTATCCAGAAAAGTGTTAAACAAATCAAAATATATTTTATATTTGAGATTCTTCAAATAGCCACCCTTTGCCTCGATGACAGCTTTGCACACTCTTGGCATTCTCTCAACCAGCTTCATGAGGTAGTCACCTGGAATGCATTTTGATTAACAGGTGTGCCTTCTTAAAAGTTAATTTGTGGAATTTCTTTCCTTCTTAATGCGTTTGAGCCAATCAGTTGTGTTGTGACAAGGTGTGGGGTTGGGGTATACAGAAGATAGCCCTATTTGGTAAAAGACCAAGTCCATATTATGGCAAGAACAGCTCAAATAAGCAAAGAGAAACGACAGTCCATCATTACTTTAAGACATGAAGGTCAGCCAATACGGAAAATGTCAAGAACTTTGAATGTGCAGTCGCAAAACCATAAAGTGCTATGATGAAACTGGCTCTCATGAGAACCGCCACAGGAATGGAAGACCCAGAGTTACCTCTGCTACAGTGGATAAGTTCATTAGATTTACCAGCCTCAGAAATTGCAGCCCAAATAAATGCTTCACAGAGTTCAAGTCACAGACACATCTCAACATCAACTGTTCAGATTGTACTGTGTGAATCAGGCCTTCATGGTCAAATTGCTGCAAAGAAACCACTACTAAAGGACACCAATAATAATAAGAGACCTGCTTGGGCCAAGAAACACGAGCAATGGACATTAGACTGGTGGAAATGTGTCCTTTGGTCTGGAGTCCAAATTGGAGATTTTTGGTTCCAACCACCGTGTCTTTGTGAGATATGGTGTGGGTGAACGGATGATCTCCGCATGTGTAGTTCCCACCGTAAAGCATGGAGGAGGAGGTGTTATGGTGTGGAGATGCTTTGCTGGTGACATTGTCTGTGATTTATTTCGAATTCAAGGCACACTTAACCAGCATGTCTACCAGAGCATTCTGCAGCGACACGCCATCCCATCTGGTTTGGGCTTAGTGGGACTATCATTTGTTTTTCAACAGGACAATGACCCAACACACCTCCAGGCTGTGTAAGGGCTATTTTACCAAGAAGGAGAGTGATGGAGTGCTGCATCAGATGACCTGGCCTCCACCCAATTGAGATGGTTTGGGGGGTATGAAAAAAAAGAAATAAAAAAAAAGTAATGTATGCACTAACTGTAAGTCGCTCTGGATAAGAGCTTCTGCTAAATGACTTAAATGTAAAATGTAAATGTTTGGGATGAGTCGGATGGCAGAGTGAAGGAAAAGCAGCCAACAAGTGCTCAGCATATGTGGGAACTCCTTCAAGACTGTTGGAAATGCATTTCAGGTGAAGCTGGTTGAGAGAATGCCAAGAGTGTGCAAAGCTGTCATCAAGGCAAAGGGTGGCTATTTGAAGAATCTGAAATAAAAATATATTTTCATTTGTTTAATACTTTTTTGGTTACTAAGTGATTCCATATGTGTTATTTCATAGTTTTGATGTCCACTATTATTCTACAATGTAGAAAATAGTAAAAATAAAGAAAAACCCTTGAATGAGTAGGTGTGTCCAAACTTTTGACTGGTACTGTATATAAAAAAACTCTCAGCATGCATCACATCCGTATTGTGTGACTGGCTCGTTTCTGTCTATCATAGATCGACTTGTTTATGGAAGTTGTGTACAACTTCCTGGAAGAGAACGAAGACATGCGACAAATGAGAGTTGTTAAAGCCCTTCTAACAGATTAGACCATGGTAACACAATGGTCTAGAAGATAATTATCTCTAAAATGATCTCTGTCATATTTGTATTATACTGTAATAAAGTAAGATACACATTACACAAAACACTGTAAAGTTGACGGTAGTTTCTAAACATGCAATTTTGCAGAGACTGTTTTATTGGTCTTCTTTCAAGCGTCACACCTGGAAAAAATACAAATTGAATGTATTCATTATATAGGCTAGGATACTCAGGCGCTTGATTATGAACATATTATGGGATGCATTTTATAGTCAGTGCAGCATTAAGTTTCTCTCTGCATGTAGATGTTGTGTGAGTCATGGGAGCTAATGCAGCCTTGTCCTAGAAATGGAAAATTCAGGTGAGGTGGGTTGTTTGCTATCTTTGAGTCTGCCGCTAAGTGAAACAAAATGTACCAAACAATTTGATGTGCTTTGTAATAAATTAAGCCCAGGCAGATCCTTATGATTTCTACAACACAGGTTGACTTTTCCCCTGCCTTTTTGTACATTTGCTTTGGACGATGTCCAGGAGACAGCAGGACTACTTGGCATGGCTCCTTGTGAGCTATGTTGGAAGAGATGAGAGTTGGGGTCTGAGAGGCGGTCTGTGCCGACTTTGAGGAAATGTCTGCTAACTGGGAGGACTGCCTTAGAGCTGGCAGCAGTCACTCTGACATATGCAGCGAATGGAAATAATGCCTACAGGCATGCTGTCTATGGAGCAGACTGCATGAAAACAGAATGGGAGGGTATTATGTAGGCAGGCTTACAGCACGGACAGCTTTACACACTGTAAACACACATGCACACCCCCTAAATAGCACACACATGACTGTGCAACTTCAGTAGGCGTACCTACACCTGATTCCTCATAACAGCATTCCCCACAAGTTACTGATTTGGATTGATTTCCTTCATACCTCATTTGGTTCATATATACATCTAGTCGACCAATGATAGTAGGAGCAATTCACAAAATGGCGAGGTTTGATAGCTAAAGCAGTTATAGGAAATACAACCATAATTCACATAAACAGTTATAAGTAACCTTTGTGTTGTGCTTTTTTGTCTTCCCTACAGTTGTGTATATCTGCGGGCCTCTGGACACGTTTCTGAATATCATGAAGCTTTTCCAGAGTGAGATCCCAGACCCTGAGAACTACGCCATCTTCTATCTGGACGTGTTTGCTGAAAGCCTAACGGAGCGCAAACCCTGGCTGAACAATGACAGCCTCTGGATTGATCCCATAAAGGTGTTCAAGGTACATTGCACTGACAGACCGACATGCAGGCAGGCAGACAGTCAGGGATGATGACAGAGAAATATTCCCTCTATTTCATTCATTACGTTTGATTAATTTAATTTATTGCAGAATCCTTTTTGAGTAATTGTGTCCAAATACTCTGTCAACTGGTGAACTGTCCGTTTTTTCCCCCCTTCGGTAATTGGAACCAGACAGGATTACGAGTCTGAAACTGCCATTTGACATGTGAAATGGATGTCTCTCACTGAGGAAATTCTATTCAAATCCTCTCCTTCATGGGTTTATCTCCGGCCTGTCCATCAACAGAATACTTTCGCATCCCTCTTTTCCAACTGAACCTGTATCAAAGGGAACACAAAGTTCACCAAGTTGACTGAGGTTGACCAACATGTAGCCTACGTGAATTACTGTAAAGTTTTATCTTAAAACATTTTAAATGTTTATTTACAGTAAACAAATACAAATTGCATGAGGTACAATGTATATTTTTGTTCTTCAGAGGTAGAGATGTTTACCAGACTTGTTTGTCACCAGCCATTGACAACCAGCTTGGAACAATTTTGGTTCACTGATCCATAACTTAACAGTTAACGAGCTAACCCAGCCCTGCCCTCTACAGTAGGCCTACAACGCTACATCACATCCTTTTCCTCCAACCCCAAAACCTCCCCTAAACCAGGCTAACTCACTGCATTCAAGTCAGAACTGACCTTTGCTTATAATAACAATGAGCGGTCCCACAAATTGCAAACGGAAATTGCAACATGCAGATGGTTAAAGTGTTTATGTTAAGTCTAAAGAGGAGCGTGCTTCTCTGATCAACGTGATACCTAAGCAAACTTCATCATGGTTCTGACTCAGGCAGGCAATAATCTGTAGAAAGGTCATAATTTACTCCCTGCCTCCTCCCCGTCTCTGCTCAGACTTTAATTATTGGATGGAGTTAATAAAGGAGAGCGTTTATTTTCAGCTGAAAGCCACTTAGTTATGCATATTAATGTGTCGAGAAATAAGTGAGTGGGGGTACAGATGCTCCTCTTCCAATTTGGTCGTTAAATGTCACAGACTGCGCTGCAGTTACTGTAGTCACCTACTTAGAATTGGAAATGTGGATTCCGGCATTGAACTCCAAATGAAAGGTGCTACAAATGGCTTTGGATTGATAAGACAGGTTAGGCTTATTGACTTTACTGAGTCATCTTAATTAGTAAGTTTTTTTTGCTTTTGCTGATTATACATTTTTATTTGACTTCAAGCAGTAACATGTTTTATGGCAATATGCTGCACATAGAACATTACTGTGTCGAGCCATTCAGCAGGATTAAGCTTATATCAGTATATCAAGGCACACTGCAAATCAAAACTCAAGTAATGACCATATCAAATCAAATCAATTTTTATTTGTCACATGTGCCGAATACAACAGGTGTAGACCTTACAGTGAAATGCTTACTTACAAGCCCTTAACGAACAATGCAGTTTTAAGAAAGAATAACCTAAAAAAAATAAGAAATAAAAGTAACAAATAATTAAAGAGCAGCAGTTAAATAACTGCTTTACATACACTACCGTTTAAAAGTTTGGGGTCACTTAGGAATGTCCTTGTTTTCAAAAGAAAATCATTTTTTTTGTCCATTAAAATAACATCAAATTGATCAGAAATACAGTGTTGATATTGTTAATGTTGTAAATGGCTATTGTAGCTGGAAACGGCTGATTTTTAATGGAATATCTACATAGGTGTACAGAGGCCCATTATCAGCAACCATCAGTCCTGTGTTCCAATGGTATGTTGTGTTTGCTAATCCAAGTTTATCATTTAAAAAGGCTAATTGAACATTAGAAAACACTTTTGCAATTATGTTAGCACAGCTGAAAACTGTTGTGCTGATTAACTCTTCGGAGTCTGGAGCTTTTTTGGCCGTTTTTGGGTACCTTCAATTTTGCCCTGATATACTACATAAAGAAATGTTTACCAGACCAATGTTGGGTATCTTTTTTTTCAGCACAACCTCACCTATATGATCTGTTAGTAAGTTTTTCACTTTGACATACTATTTCAACACACTGGACCCAAACACACACAGAAAACACAAAGTCCGTTTAGAAAAAATATGGTTTTTTTATTGTAAAACCCTCAAACATGGTGAACCAAGCATTTAAAAAGCTTCAAATTGAACCACAAGGTGCAAATATGAACATATAAAAGTATTTTGGTGATATATACAAGCAATAAATAACTATTTACAATAAAAAGTAGGTATAACCACTGGCGTTTTTCTTCTATTCTAACCCTAAACCTTTTTGTGCCACTCCTCAAAACAGTTTCTGTCCAAAATGAAAAAAAAAGCTTCAAATTGAACCACAAAGTGCAAATATGAACATATAAAAGTATTCTTGAGATATATACAAGCAATACACAACTATTTACAAAAAAAGTAGGTATAGCCACTGGCCTTTACCCTATTTGTGCCACTCTTCAAAACAGTTCCTGTCCACAATGACACAGAGAGCCACATCACAGGCCTTGCACTTCCATGGTGTGACAAACCTCTTCTTGTCAACTTGTTTACAGCGTTGACAAACCCTGCGGCCTGCTGTGGCTTTGTCTTTGGCCTCTGCAACATTGGCAATGGCCACAGGAACATGGCTGGTGCTACTAACTCGTGAAAAACTCTCCAAAACTACTCATGAACTGAACTAATTCCTCTCGTTCGTTCTTTCGCAATGGCTAGTTGTCATGGGAATGAATGTTTATATACTCGTGTGCATCCTGAAGAACCGGGTTAGCACAAGCACACGTTTTTTTCCGTTCCTTTTTATCACAAAAGACGACAAAGTTATTATAATAAATGCAAAGCGCTCATAAAAGAGCGCATATTTTGACGCACTTTTTTCATGGAATTGAAATTATCATAACTTTGGTTTTAGTTGGTGTATTTACATGAAACAAACACTCAAAACGTAGCTTCGGGTCTCCATTTCTGCATGAAATCGACGGCAGCCCTCTGCGTCACTTGGTTTGGATGCTGCGCGGTCCTAAAGCCGGCCCGCGATTTGAACGCGCCGAAGCGTTCGCCGACTCGGAAGAGTTAAAGAAGCAATAAAACTGGCCTTCTTGAGACTAGTTGAGTATCTGGAGCATCAGCAATTGTGGGTTTGATTACAGGCTCAAAATGGCCAGAAACAAATAACTTTCTTCTGAAACTCGTCAGTCTATTCTTAATCTGAGAAATTAAGGCTAGTCCATGCGAGAAATTGCCAAGAAACTGAAGATCTCGTACAACGCTGTGTACTACTCCCTTCACAGAACAGCGCAAACTGGCTCTAACCAGAATAGAAAGAGGAGTGGGAGGCCCCGGTGCACAACTGAGCAAGAGGACAAATACATTAGAGTGTATAGTTTGAGAAACAGACGCCTCACAGGTCCTCAACTGGCAGCTTCATTAAATAGTACCCGCAAAACACCAGTCTCAACGTCAACAGTGAAGAGGCGACTCCGGGATGCTGACCTTCTAGGCAGAGTTGCAAAGAAAAAGCCATATCTCAGACTGGCCAATAAAAAGAAAAGATTAAGATGGGCAAAATAACACAGACACTGGACAGAGGAAAAAAGTGTTATGGACAGACAAATCGAAGTTTGAGGTGTTCAGATCAAAAAGAAGAACATTTGTGAGATGCATGGTGGTGGTAAAGTGGGAGATTTGTACACGGTAAAAGGGATCTTGAAGAAGGAAGGCTTTCACTCCATTTTGCAACGCCATGCCATACCTTGTGGACGGCGCTTGATTGGAGCCAATTTCCTCCTACAATAGGACAATGACCCAAAGCACAGCTCCAAACTATGAAATAACTATTTAGGGAAGAAGCAGTCAGCTGGTATTCTGTCTATAATGGAGTGGCCAGCACAGTCACCGGATCTCAACCCTATTGAACTGTTGTGGGAGCAGCTTGACCGTAAGAAGTGCCCATCAAGCCAATCCAACTTGTGGAAGGTGCTTCAGGAAGCATGGGGTGAAATCTCTTCAGATTACCTCAACAAATTGACAACTAGAATGCCAAAGGTCTACAAGGCTGTTATTGCTGCAAATTGAGGATTATTTGAAGAAAGCAAAGTTTGAAGGACACAATTATTATTTCATTATTTCTAACCTTGTCAATGACTACATTTCCTATGTATTTTGCTATATGTCCTATTCAAACTAATTTCATGTATGTTTTCATGGAAAACAAGGACATTTCTAAGTGACCCTAAACTTTTGAATGGCAGTGTATATTGAGTCTTTGGCAGACATAATCAAACAAACAATGTGCATCCAAGTCACAACTGTGGTGTAATAGCAATTAGGGATAACATAAACAATATACAGAGTTACCACAGCTGCTCTTCTAAGTTTTTGCCTTCTCTTCAAGAAATGTCCATAAGGTTAAGTGCATTTGGATACAGCAGATTGTGTATTCTTCACTATAAATAATGTTGTTGCTGTTTACTCATAATGGACTTTTAATTAGACCGTTTAGATTATAAAAGAGGAGACATCTGTTCATCATTAATCCTACTTCTGCTGTTTACAATACACTTCAAATGTTATGTTTATCACTGACATTTCCACCCAGTAGGAAATCACTCTGCATACCATTATGAATCTGTCATACGGTAGTTGGTACATGTTTATGATGCTCTGGGTGTAATTCCAGGCGCGTCAATTGGGTATGGCAGTTCAACACCAACAATTTAAAATAGGCTACTAAAATCATTCCAATCCCAATTAAAAGGCAAATGCAGTTTAGAGGTATTAGTTTATGATTTTAGGACCATGCAGATGCATGGAGCGGGAGGGAAGGCTGTTTGTATGGCTGGCTTTATGGAGAGCGCAGCTGCAGGGAACAGCGCAACTGTTTTTAAAACAGTGCGGAGGTAACGATGGCTGTAGTAGATGGCTTTGGCGAGGTAACTGCTGTTTGACTTGACATGAAACTAGAGTTTTAATCCAGGTGCTGAGCTAGTGCGTAGCAGCTAATTATTGTGTGACGTGTTTGTAGAATGTATAGCTTTGGGACACAACATCGAGAGTCTGTGTATTAGTTGGACTACCAGAGTTGTGAATCGTTTTGGTGGGTTGCGATGGAAAATAACCCTACCACAATGTAGCCGACTACACCAAAAAACACTTTCCTGTCAACAAAGATATATGTATAATTTCTAGGAACTCTACTTACCAGACGTAAAGTGAAATGTGTCCCTCGCTATCAAATAAACGTATGAATCCAACTTTTGTCAAGAAAGTACCATATTCCTGCTATGTAGACAGTGGTAGGAGGTCTCGCGTGAAGTGTGTGGTCTAATGTTAGCCTGCTGTCTAACTCAACAGGAGTATTGAGCTGTTCGGACAAAAGTTGGATTCAGATGTTTATTTGATAGCGAGGGACACATTTCACTTTACGTCTGGTAAATATAGTTCCTAGAGATGATACATATGCCTTTGTTGACAGGAAACTATATTTGAGTAAATCCGGCTATATTGTGGTAGTTATTTTCCGTCGCCAGCCACCAGAACGATGCAAATTGACTGAGGTTGAAATGACGCCCCTGTGTAATTCCGCAGTAATGCTCTACTTTTTCATTGTTGTCTCTCTTTCTCCCAGTCTGTGTTGATAATAACATACAGGGAACCTGATAATCCAGAGTACAAACAGTTTCAAGATGAGCTCCACATTAGAGCTCAGAAGGACTTTGATGTGAACATTGAACCCTCTTTGGTAAGTTCTTTGAAATCATGCCACATCTCAGCATCAGAGCCACAAAGGTTATTTGTTGAAAGGCTTTTACACTGTGTTTAAAAAATATATATATTTCAAAGGAGCCGAGAGAGATCAGAGTAGCATCGGTATTACATTAAAGCATTTTAGGCACTGTCATAAAATAGATAATTTACAGTGCCTTCGGAAAGTATTCAGACCCCTTTACTTTTTCCACATTTTGTTACATTACAGCCTTATTCTAAAATTGATTTTTTTTTAAACATTTCCTCACCAATCTACACACAATACCCCATAATGACAAAGCGAAAAAACAAGGAGGAGGCCTACAAACCTGACTCAGTTACACCAGCTCTGTCAGGAGGAATGGGTCAAAATTCACCCAATTTATTGTGGAAGGCTACCCGAAACGTTTGACCCAAGTTAAACAATTTAAAGGCAATGCTACCAAATACTAATTGAGTGTATGTAAACTTCTGAACCACTGGGAATGTGATGAAATAATTGAATGCTGAAATAAATCATTCTCTCTACCATTATTCTGACATTTCACATTCTTAAAATAAAGTGGTGATCCTAACTGACCTAAAACAGGGAATGTTTACTACGATTAAATGTCAGGAATTGTGAAGAACTGAGTTTAAATGTATTTGGCTAAGGTGTATGTAAACTTCCGACTTCAAGTAAATAGAGACAGCCATAGACCCATGCCTATAGTATGTCAAGGTAGAATTCCAGGCAAATAGTCAACGAAATCAGTAAATCAATCAAATGTTATTTGTCACATGCTTCGTAAACAACAGATTAAATGCTTACTTACGGGCCCTTCCCAACAATGCATAGAGAGAAAATGAGAAATAATAGAAAAATAATAACATGAGAAATAAATACACAATGAGTAACAATAACTTTATTATATACATGGGGTACCAGTACTGAGTCGATGTGCAGGGGTACGAGGTAATTGAGGTAGATATGTACATATAGGTAGGGGTAAAGTGACTAGGCAACAGGATAGATAATAAGCAGTAGCATCAACATATGTGATGAGTCAAATGCAAAAAGGGTCAATGCAGATAGGCCAGGTAGCTATTTGGTTAACTATTTAGTAGTCTTATGGCTTGGGGGTAGAAGCTGTTCAGGGTGCTGTCGGACACACAAAAGCTGCATGTGTTACTGAAGATCATGAAGACTACTCTCTTGCTGGCTTATGTATAGACCTCCATTCCATTCCTTTCAGATGGATTTCATCGCTGGCTGCTTCTATGATGGCTTTGTGATGTATGCTAAGGCTTTGGAGGAGACGCTCGCTGAGGGGGGCTCCCAGAACGATGGAATCAACATCACACAGAGGATGCAAAACCTGCGATTCTGGGGTGAATATTATGAGTTGATCATGGTGCTGTTTTTAGTTGACTTTGCATTCATCTATTTGGTGTCAATTGGGAAAGAAAGAGTTGCATTTGTTATACCCATTGTTGCATTATGACTGATATGAAATGTCTAAATGTGAAGGTTTTCTGTGTTTTAAGGGGTTACAGGACTTGTGACCACAGACAAAAACAATGCCAGAAACACTGATTTCAACCTCTGGGCAATGACAAACCAGGAATCTGGAGAGTATGGGGTAAGTGATACTTCTGCAGGTAGATCAATTTAAGCAAGACATCTAAAGCTATTTTAGAAGCCACTCACAGAAAGACACAACTTGCTATTTTGTTTTCAGGCTTTGTTTTGCTGGCAAGTTAACTTTACAGGCATTACATTTTTTCTTATAACTATTCCAACAAGGACCAATAGTTTATAAACATTACACAATACATTTGTTGCTAATTTAACATAGTGGTAGACAGTGCATCATTATTTTATACTGTTTCAATTGTGGTCTGCACTGCATCTCATGGCTCTGAACAGTGATTGGCTCAGATAGACTGATCACTTTGGCACCATGAGATTTGAGCTGCATGTAATGATGTCATGCAAATATGCTTTGATGAGTGGCCATATGATCACTATGACAAAGGTCCCTTTAGGTTAGTTTTGAGTGTGAATAACAAGATAATCATTACGAGTTCTCCAAGTAAACATTTGGCATTATCAATATGTGTTTTCCTATGTGAACTTTCAATAACAGTGTTCATTTTCAAATTCCTGCTTTTACAATATCCCACAGAGGTGATGAGGGATGCATATTATTTTAAAGCATCTTGTTTATAGTTATTGTTTATGGCTCTAGCCAACATTTCCATATACATTTATATTTCAAAACAAAAAGATATGTTGTCAAAAGATCAATATTTGCACTTTATGATTTTTATATTTTATATTTCAGTAGTAAACTCAGTGACAATAAATAATAGTAATGAGTGAGAGCAGTTCTTTCTGGGGACCAGTCTAATCCGTTCCAGATGTTCCAGTTGCTGTAATTACCGTAACAAGAATTTCCCTAGAAATTCCTCTCCGCATAGTGAATTATGTGGAGCTGAAAACCCAATGCTTTGCTTGTGAATTGCCAATATGCCATCAATGTAATTAAAAGCAAATGTTCAACATCATGCAAAGGCTAAGGGCTATTACTGTTTGGGAGATTCTGGAGTACAGTACTATTTTAATGATAAGATGTGTAAAAACCTAAAATGTCCCTCAAATTCAGATGGAGATATTGGTTTATCTTGTCTTGTGCTCTACAGACACTTCCATGACTCTCTGAACTGTTCCAGAGTTGCTCTCTGGAGGACAAAAATGTTACTGATCGATCAGAGTCCACTAACCTAACCAAAACTTCCCGATGTGAATAAATAGCTGATTAGAAAGACACGGTTCTATAGAAACCAGCAACTAGTAAATCCATTGATAACTGGTTGAGTTGAGTGGTCCTCCTGCTCCTCAACAAACTGTTACAACCTGCAGTGTTTTTACGTCCCTCTGAGTGGGGCTGCCCTTCCCCTTCACGGACTGGCTAGCAGGGAGGACCCAACCCAACATGCCTGTCTGGCCCTCCACTAGGGAGGCAGGCTAAATTGACATTCTCCAGCGGCTGGTTAGAGACATGGAAGTCATGTTTCACAATGCCCTTCTGTGACAAGGGAAGCTATTGACTGGGCTGAGACATGCCATCGCATCAAACAATAAACCTCCCATTGCTAGAGCTGAAAGGCCACTGTTTCTCAGACAACCTTTTCCAAACGGCTAATTTGTCTGAAAAGTGCCAGTTCTGTTAAGTCAACAATACCCTGTCTTGCTATACATATTAGTATATGTTAATGTTGAACATTTTAGTCACATAGTTATTTATTATGGGCATGCCCCAAAAAAGCATGCCAAACATTTGCTTTCTTCACTGATAGGCTTAAATGTTTAAAAGGCATTGAACGAGAGTAGCAGCTATTTTAATATGCAGCTTTAATGCTACCGTGAATTTAAACAGGCACTCAATATAATAATACTGTGCTGTGTGCTCTTTATTTGAAGTGGGAGAAAAACGGCTCATTTTGATTACGTAACATGCTCCATTTTCAGTCCTCTGAATGTATAATCTGGCCGTGGGAATTTCTGCCATCGAGTTTGTAAACATTGCATAAATGTTTTCTTGATGTTTTGCAGCTTGTGGCCCATTACAATGGAACTAACAAAGAGATAATCTGGTCCTCAACGGAGAGGATTCATTGGCCCAAAGGACGCCCACCTCTGGATAACCCACCGTGCGTTTTCTCTTCTGATGACCCCACCTGCGCTGTTGGTAGGTCAAGTAGGCTGGCTCCTGTACAAGTGATTGATGGTTAAGTCAGGGGCTTCTAGTAGTACAGCAGTTTGACTACATCTGCTACATCTCGTACCATCTGTGTTGATTCTATTTCATGTGCAACATGGTTTTTCATGGAATGAACATATGGATGAAAAATGGGACTACTGTAGAAGGAGCAACACTTTTTATGAAGTAATATACAGTGGGGGAAAAAAGTATTTAGTCAGCCACCAATTGTGCAAGTTCTCCCACTTAAAAAGATGAGAGAGGCCTGTAATTTTCATCATAGGTACACGTCAACTATGACAGACAAAATGAGAATTTTTTTTCTAGAAAATCACATTGTAGTATTTTTTATGAATTTATTTGCAAATTATGGTGGAAAATAAGTATTTGGTCAATAACAAAAGTTTCTCAATACTTTGTTATATACCCTTTGTTGGCAATGACACAGGTCAAACGTTTTCTGTAAGTCTTCACAAGGTTTTCACACACTGTTGCTGGTATTTTGGCCCATTCCTCCATGCAGATCTCCTCTAGAGCAGTGATGTTTTGGGGCTGTCGCTGGGCAACACGGACTTTCAACTCCCTCCAAAGATTTTCTATGGGGTTGAGATCTGGAGACTGGCTAGGCCACTCCAGGACCTTGAAATGCTTCTTACGAAGCCACTCCTTCGTTGCCCGGGCGGTGTGTTTGGGATCATTGTCATGCTGAAAGACCCAGCCACGTTTCATCTTCAACGCCCTTGCTGATGGAAGGAGGTTTTCACTCAAAATCTCACGATACATGGCCCCATTCATTCTTTCCTTTACACGGATCAGTCGTCCTGGTCCCTTTGCAGAAAAACAGCCCCAAAGCATGATGTTTCCACCCCCATGCTTCACAGTAGGTATGGTGTTCTTTGGATGCAACTCAGCATTCTTTGTCCTCCAAACACGACGAGTTGAGTTTTTACCAAAAAGTTCTATTTTGGTTTCATCTGACCATATGACATTCTCCCAATCCTCTTCTGGATCATCCAAATGCACTCTAGCAAACTTCAGACGGGCCTGGACATGTACTGGCTTAAGCAGGGGGACACGTCTGGCACTGCAGGATTTGAGTCCCTGGCGGCGTAGTGTGTTACTGATGGTAGGCTTTGTTACTTTGGTCCCAGCTCTCTGCAGGTCATTCACTAGGTCCCCCCGTGTGGTTCTGGGATTTTTGCTCACCGTTCTTGTGATCATTTTGACCCCACGGGGTGAGATCTTGCGTGGAGCCCCAGATCGAGGGAGATTATCAGTGGTCTTGTATGTCTTCCATTTCCTAATAATTGCTCCCACAGTTGATTTCTTCAAACCAAGCTGCTTACCTATTGCAGATTCCGTCTTCCCAGCCTGGTGCAGGTCTACAATTTTGTTTCTGGTGTACTTTGACAGCTCTTTGGTCTTGGCCATAGTGGAGTTTGGAGTGTGACTGTTTGAGGTTGTGGACAGGTGTCTTTTATACTGATAACAAGTTCAAACAGGTGCCATTAATACAGGTAACGAGTGGAGGACAGAGGAGCCTCTTAAAGAAGAAGTTCTGGCTCTCACAGGTCTGTGAGAGCCAGAAATCTTGCTTGTTTGTAGGTGACCAAATACTTATTTTCCACCATAATTTGCAAATAAATTCATAAAAAATCCTACAATGTGATTTTCTGGATTTTTTTTTCTCAATTTGTCTGTCATAGCCTCTCTCATCTTTTTAAGTGGGAGAACTTGCACAATTGGTGGCTGACTAAATACTTTTCCCCCCCCACTGTACATGTATTAGCTAATAAATAATAATTAGGTAGGCCACTGCAATGAGGTGATATGGTATCTATAGATAATGAATGAGTGGGAGAGTGATGAGAAGTAACAATCTCTCCAACAAGTGGAGTCCATCCACAAATAATGATCTGAGTTGCGAGTCTGGCTGTCTCAGTGGTGTAGGAGGAAGACAGGAGGGAGACACTCAGGCACGATGATATACTACAGTATGCCTGCTGAACAAGGTTAAGAGGCAAACAGGATCCTGCCTTGACTAGGAATGACCTTCTGACTCAATTAGCATGAGTTTGACTGAAGGAGAACTGTAATGGAGCCAGGCAGAGGGTCAGTTAAATGAGGATGGTTGAAAAAGGCACATTTGATGCAGCAAGTTGTGTGTTACATATATCTTCAAGATGCCAATTTAGGCATGTGAGCTTAATTTAGGCCAGTGTGAGCTTAATCTAGGCTAATATGAGCTTAATGTAGGCCAGAGTGAGCTTAATTTAGGCTAGTGTGAGCTTAATTTAAGCCAGAGTGAGTTTAATTTAGGCTAGTGTGAGCTTAAGTTAGGCCAGAGTGAGCTTATTTAGGCTAGTGTGAGTTTAATTTAGGCTAGTGTGAGCTTAATTTAAGCCAGAGTGAGCTTAATTTAGGCTAGTGTGAGCTTAATTTAGGCCAGAGTGAGCTTAATTTAGGCTAGTGTGAGTTTAATTTAGGCTAGTGTGAGCTTAATTTAGGCCAGAGTGAGCTTAATTTAGGCTAGTGTGAGCTTAATTTAGGCCAGTGTGAGCTTAATTTAGGCCAGTGTGAGCTTAATTTAGGCTAGTGTGAGCTTAATTTAGGCTAGTGTGAGCTTAATTTAGGCCAGTGTGAGCTTAATTTAGGCTAGTGTGAGCTTAATTTAGGCTAGTGTGAGCTTAATTTAGGCTAGTGTGAGCTTAATTTAGGCTCGTGTGACCTTAATTTAGGCTAGTGTGACCTTAATTTAGGCCAGTGTGAACTTAATTTAGGCCAGTGTGAGCTTAATTTAGGCCAGTGTGAGCTTAATTTAGGCCAGTGTGAGCTTAATTTAGGCCAGTGTGAGCTTAATTTAGGCTAGTGTGGAAGTACAATAAGTTATTTTTTGGAAAACAGTCAAAAACAGTCAACAACTTCGGTAGTACAGACCCCCAGAAATCGGCCAATCGCCCTCTAGTGGCAAAAGTAAGAACTGCTAAAAATGCACAGTCAAAGAGGAGAATAATTATTCTGGCATACTAAGAAAAAAGAGCCGTGACACAGTGTGTAAATGATAAGACATTAGTGCAGGAAATGAAGAAGTTGATTAAAATGCTTTAAGTGAATGCTGGAATTAAACAATTAACTATGCAAATAAGCAAAAGCTGTGTGCATTAAGGAAATAGACGCCTGGCTCAAATAGAAGCCTGTCTCTAATAAGTGCCTGTTGTGTTCAGTGATTTAAGCAAATAAACGCCCGGGCTATTAATTGAAGTTTTACGGTACCCAAATACAGAATATATTCATTTCAAGAAAGCATTGTGGAGTTTTGATACTATTGATTTTTGAAAGCATAATTTGGTTTTGAAAACAAATATTATAAATCTTGAAATGTTAATAAAATGAGAAATGTTACATTGCTATGTTTCCCTGTATTTTCAGCTCATCTTCCAGTGCTGGGGATTGTAGCTGTCGGGTCTGGCTTAGCCCTCATCATTTTTGGAATCTCCAGCTTCCTCATTTACAGGTGAGTTGTTTAGTTCATTCAGGCTTGTGCTCTGAAGACCAAGCGAGTGAAATGAACATATTTCATCTTGGAGAGAGGGAGGGAGGGAGGGAGGGAGGGAGGGAGGGAGGGAGGGAGAGAATTTATGTGTTTCAAAGAGGATCATTTTTGGAATCTCCAGCTTCCTCATTTACAGGTGGGTTGTTTTGTTCATTCAGGCATGTGCTCTGAAGACCAAGCGAGTGAAATGAACATCTTTCATCTTGGAGGGAGGGAGGGAGAGAATTGATGTGTTTCAAAGAGGATATATTAGGAGCACAACTATAGGTGCCAGCATGAAATTGACATGATTGTTGCCAGGAGCAACCACTCAGCAAGTGATGGTGGAAAAGTAAAGCAGAAAAGTATGTCAGTTGCCAAGGTAAACTCAGTTACACTACCTGGCCTAAATATTTGAACGCCTACATAGTTACGCTCACATAATAGTCATTAACACGTTCCTTTGTTATTATTCTTTACACTGAATGTAGATGGAGACCTTTGCTTGATCTCCAATCGCATTCTATGAACTTTGCTATGAACCTGTTTGTGAAATGAAATAGAGTTGCAGTGAGCTTTCTGAAATAAGTTATAGTTTTTCATAATTGGCTTTTTAAATTGCGGAGGCTAGAAACACCCTCATGTGCTTGTGCATCTGCTGGAAAAATTATTGGTCCTCTCAACCCTGTCTTTGTAGAGCCGGGGGCTGCATTCGGTCTTCAACAAGGTCCGGAGGGCCGCTCTGAAAATGGGTTATATTTCCTCACCGTCAACATTAACAAAAAACAATCCTATATCCATAGTTTCTGGAATTTTCGAAGCTGCCTGAATGTCTAGCTTTAATTTCTGGGATTATTAGTGAGCTGGACACAGTCAAGGAAATATATGTTCAAGGAAATATATATTCATTTCTACTCTGTTTCGATTTGGTTTTAGTCATTTTAAAGTATATTGAGTTCGTTTTCCCAATATTTATTTTACTCAGACTACCCGTGGGCCGGATATTTGACACCCCTTATCTAGAGCGACATGTAAATGTTCGCACATGCTCTTTATGCAGATGGAGTTTTGGCAGTAAGTGAATGCATCTACTGTCACCCCTAATATTGATGTTAATGCTGTCAGTCACAGGTGGAACACTGATATTTCATATCAATCATGTTTAATATCAAAACATTAATTGGCCTCCCTCTATTTGCCAGGATTTTAATGACCAAATCTATATAATTACTTCTCACAGTTAGTTACTTAAAAAGGTATTCCTCAGGAAATAGAGACAATTGCATTTTTGGAAAGTGAAACATATGTTTGGGCCATTGGCTTTATATGAAACTCCATGGTTTGGCTATATAGGGTTCTCTTATAGGGGTTGTGAACAAACACATTTTCTCACAGATGTCACAATTTGCGTGATTTCCTTCCATGTGTATCTTACAACATTCAAAGAAGGGTCATCTTGGCTTTCTAATGAAGAAATGTGTGTAAAGTGTTAAGGGATGTTGAGCAGAACCTACTACTACTAGGCTCTGTAGTTTAATGGAGGGTTGGTCCAGCAAAGGTATTCACATATGGGATTTATGAAACAATAGAGCTAGTGTGGAGCCCCACACTTTGGTGCTGCGGCTGCCAGACTGCAAACGAAGGCCTTTAAATAGAAAAATACTTTTTAGGGGAGAGAGAATTGGTTTAATGGTGTTTCCTGCCCTGAAAGGTTGCGCCGCTCCCCAGCGATGATGTGACATATCCATTCTTCCACACGGGCACAGTCCAGAGAGGTTATACAGTTGAAGTCGGAAGTTAACATACACCTTAGCCAAATACATTTAAACTCAGTTTTTCACAATTCCTGATATTTAATCCTAGTAAAAATTCCCTGTCTAAAGTCAGTTAGGATCAACACTTTATTTTAAGATTGTGAAATGTCAGAATAATAGTGGAGAGAATTATTTCTTTCAGCTTTTATTTCTTTCATCACATTTCCAGTGGGTCAGAAGTGTACATACACTCAATTAGTATTTGGTAGCATTGCCTTTAACTTGTTTAACTTGGGTCAAACGTTTCGGGTAGCCTTCCACAAGCTTCCCACAACAAGTTGGGTGAATTTTGTCCCATTCCTCCTTAACAGAGCTGGTGTAACTGAGTCAGGTTTGTAGGCCTCCTTGCTCGCACACGCTTTTTCAATTCTGCCCACAAATCTTCTATAGGATTGAGGTCAGGGCTTTGTGATGGCCACTCCAATACCTTGACTTTGTTGTCCTTAAGCCATTTTGCCACAACTTTGGAAGTATTCTTGGTGTCATTGTCCATTTGGAAGACCCATTTGCGACCAAGCTTTAACTTCCTGACTGATGTCTTGAGATGTTGCTTCAATATATCCACATAATTTTCCTTCCTCATGATGCCATCTATTTTGTGAAGTGCACCAGTCCTTCCTGCAGCAAAACCCTTTGCATGATGCTGTCACCCCCGTGCTTCACGGTTGGGATGGTGTTCTTCGGCTTACAAGTACCCCCTTTTTCCTCCAAACATAACGATGGTCATTATGGCCAAACATTTCTATTTTTGTTTCATCAGACCAGAGGACATTTCTCCAAAAAGTACAATATTTGTCCCCATGTGCAGTTGCAAACCGTAGTCTGGCTTTTTTATGGCGGTTTTGGAGCACTGGCTTCTTCCTTGCTGAGCGGCCTTTCAGGTTATGTCGATATAGGACTCGTTTTACTGTGGATAAAAATAATTTTGTACCTGTTTCCTCCAGCATCTCACAAGGTCCTTTGCTGTTGTTCTGGGATTGATTTGCACTTTTCGCACCAAAGTACGTTCATTTACATTTACATTTTAGTCATTTAGCAGATGCTCTTATCCAGAGCGACTTACATGAGCAATTAGGGTTAAGTGCCTTGCTTAAGGGCACATCGGCAGATTTTTCACCTAGTCGGCTCGGGGATTAGAACCAGCGACCTTTCGGTTACTGGCACAACGCTCTTACCCACTAAGCTACCTGCCGCCACGTTCATCTCTAGGAGACAGAATGCGTCTCCTTCCTGAGCGGTATGACGGCTGCGTGGTCCCATGGTGTTTATACTTGCATACTATTGTTTGTACAGATGAACGTGGAACCTTCAGGCGTTTGAAAATTGCTCCCAAGGATGAACCAGACTTGTGGAGGTCTACAATTTATTTTCTGAGGTCTTGGCTGATTTCTTTTCATTTTCCCATGATGTCAAGCAAAGAGGCACTGAGTTTGAAGGTAGGCCTCGAAATACATCCACCGGTACACCTCCAATTGACTCAAATGATGTCAATTAGCCTATCAGAAGCTTCTAAAGCCATTACATCATTTTCTGGAATTTTCCAAGCTGTTTAAAGGCACAGTCAACTTAGTGTATGTAAACTTCTGACCCACTGGAATTGTGATACAGTGAATTATAAGTGAAATAATCTGTCTGTAAACAATTGTTGGAAAAATTACTTGTGTCATGCACAAAGTAGATGTCCTAACCGACTTGCCAAAACTATAGTTTGTTAACAAGAAATTTGTGGAGTGGTTGAAAAACAGGTTTTAATGACTCCAACCTAAGTGTATGTAAACTTCCGACTTCAACTGTATATACTCATGGGCACGCAACAAATAATGTTACACAAATCAACAAACAATCTAGTTTTTATCTGGCTTTTGAATTGACTAAAAGTAGCTGATCAGACTTACTTAGTAATAAAAGGCTTATCTTGTAGTTCTTATGTTTCGTACAACCTATGTCTTTTTTAGACATTTCTGAATTTAAACACTCCTTAGTCCTTAGTCAAGGAGTCACTTGAAAGCCCAGTACCTTTTGTTTTCTACTCTGAACGGGCTACTCTGGAATGCAGGGCAGGAAGTTGGTTCCTGTGCGTACACATCAGGAACAGCTCCAAGTCTTCAATGTTAAGACCCAGCAAAAGGAGGATGGGAGTTAAGATTAGAATGAATGGTGGATTGTCCACTGTGGGTGAAAATCCAGCACTTGCAGAAAGAGGAAATTAGGAATATATTAATAATTATTTAACTACATGTACTGTACATGTGAGCGGAAATAGCTGTAAATAGCAGTAGAAGTATTGTTGTCCATTAGTTTACTCCAATCAGGGTAGGGATTGTAGGATTGACTTGAACATGTGTTCTAGGGTAACAAATAATGTTCAAGTCAATCCTACAATCCCTACCCTGATTGGACAACAATACTTATACTGCTATTTACAGCTATTTTCACTGTATGGTACATGTAGTTAAAATAATTATTCAATAGGTGGCTCAGCAGAGGGGTAAAATCCAACGATAAGCAAACGCTGCAATAATCCACTTGCACCATCTGGAAGTGTCTTGCACCTTTTAGACTGACCTGGAATGTGTGGCCTCTGATCTTTTTCCCCTTCATTTTCAACGTATAAAACTAATAACGATTTCTTCCTCAAAACGCTCACATTCTTACCATTGAAGCCATGCTTGAACATGGACTTTTTGCAGCAAATCGGTGAATGTTGAGAAACACCAGGTCCTGAGAGATCTGCACCAGATGTGTTTATTCACTTGGATATTTTTTTTCACGTCTCTGAGTGACTGCCAGTTATACTGATGTTTAAAAAAAACACCAGGAAAAAAAAAAAACATCCAGACATCAGTGACCTGGAAATTAAAAAGTCAATACATTTTTTAATGGTCTATTTTTGGTCACACAGTATTTAGTTTTGTTCTGGTAACTTACAGTTTGATCAGAATCGGGGAGGTAGCATTGTAACATTACATCATTACAGGAGTTATTATTCATGATACCACAACTTCATTTTGATGATTTTTCATAGAGCTGTGGACAGTTCAAACTATACCCTCTGTCAGTGTTAGACTGCTGAAACCAAATCATTCACTTACTGCATTTAACGGATAGTATCTGAGGGAATACCACTGACAAACGATTAATATCTAATTTGAAATGGAAGGTTCAATTATGTTGAAAGATCATAACAGTAATGATTCTGTCATGTTAGACCAATCTGATAACAAAAATGTATGCATACTATATCTACATGCAAGAGTTTTCAGTTCTGTGCCTTTGTTGTAAACCCCTTTACTAATGTGTCCTCCTGCTGTTCCTGTTGAAGGAAACTGAAGCTGGAGAAGGAGTTGGCTGGAATGCTGTGGAGGATAAAGTGGGAGGACCTGCAGTTTGAGAGCCCCAACAAATATCCCAAAAGGGCAGGCAGCCGTCTCACCCTCTCACAGGTACATTTGTCTCTGAAATATCCTGTCAAGACTCAAGAGTTCAAACCAATTAATTATCTGTACTATGTTGTTTATTAGTTGTTCAGAGAGATATCATATTATGACATGCTGGCAGCCTTAAACATTTCCTCACAATTTGATCTTAATATTGTTTTGATTTTGTCACTGCCATGCACTGCCATGCGTTGGAGATTAAAACATTGTTGTTTCTCTAGCAAATTAGAATGCCATTTAAGCCCGTGGGAAAGGAAAAGCTCAACAGATGCAGTTTATCTTGCTAAAACCTCTCTACAGTATCACTGCTCCCTCTCTCATTGCTTTGTTTTTAAAGCATCTTTGAGATTCTCTTTGTAATGAAATGTGGTTTATAAAATACATTTACATTTTTACATTTAGCAGATGCTCTTACATCTATTCATACATCTATTTTTATTATCTATTATTATTTTTCATACATCTATTATTATTGTTATTATTATTATATGCAACAGAGGAATAGATATCTGTCTCTGTGGTACAATTAATGACAGTGTTGTTTAATAGCACACAAAATGTGCAATAACAACACTGGCATTGAAATGTATCTAATGTGTAGTTACATGTTGGTGTCTGTACATACAGTATATGTTTTGCATTGAGAGAGAAAAAGAGAAAGACGAGCCAAATCCTTTGTTAGTTTCAACATTCTTGAAAGTCTTCCCGGTGGTTTATTGAAGGTGGCTGGGTTTGCGGTGGCAGACACATATTAAATGATTGTTAAAATAATCTTACAGTACACACGTGCAGGCATTCATGCATGCACATGCACACACCTTCTTCATTACAAGCTTTCAGTCCAATTCCTGGGATAATAGTGTGGAAAACACGTTGATTTTCCAGACCAATTTATTTTCCAGTATGCCATGTGTTGCCAGTATTTACATTATCTAAAAATGTGTAGTGCATGCTGACACTTAATACATTACCCTCACTCCCTTTTCATTCACGCTGTGTACACCGTTACTACACGTACGTCTCCCCAAGATTCTGTTTTGCGTATGAAAACAGCAATTCTTCATTTACCTGGCAAATATACCCATTGCGCTTACATATGAATAGAATGTTGAAGCTATTGCTAAGAACTGAACTGAATTGTATAAGTGAACATTGTATAGTTGTATATGTAATGATAACTGAACCTAACTGTAGTGTACCTGAACATACCTGAACATTTCTCTGACTGTATCTTATCTGACAAAGGATACTTGTTACTCCTTCCAGAGAGGTTCCAGCTACGGCTCCTTGATAACTGCCCATGGAAAATATCAGCTATTTGCTAAAACTGGCTATTTTAAGGTAAGGCTTTCTGAGTTCTGACATTTTCAACTCCTGCTCACCCACATATGTACATGCTCACAGGGGAGGTGGAGAGGAGAGTGGGCGAGCTTCGCACAGCTCAGCTGGCTGGTTTTAATGTGATACACAGTGTGGTTCACACCTCGTCTGGACACAGCCAGCAACTTGTTGTTGTTGTTGTTAATGTCTCTTTTTAATGAGTCTACTGAGAAGGTGGAGGATTATGTGAGAAACGTCAGGCTTTGAATGTTGAGACGTGGTTGTTGGCTACATGTAACACGTTTGGGTTTTCTCTATTAAACCTATAGGAATATATCCCCTGCTATAAAGTATCCAAAGCATTATATTTTCTCCCTTTGTCTATTTAGAATTCACACTTTGATTTTGATGGTGAGCTGCTCAATTGCTATATTCATCCTATTGTGCCTAGCAGTCTGTCATGTACTGTGTCTCCCTGGGTTTCTCTCGCTTCTCTACCTTCTCTGTAGATTGACTTATCGTCCCATATCAAAGTAACAGATATAACACTCCATCTCGGTAGCATAGAATACATGTTAAATATACCTGGCACACAGATACCTTACTCTATTAAAGGAACACTATAGTACACCTATTTTTCCTCATGTTGTCCCCTTTCCCTTCCTTCCAAGAATTCAGTGAATAAGAATGGAATATGTCAATGTTCCCATGTCCTTTCTTTCATTATTTTCCTACAATGAATGGATGCCTGTCTATCACACAAATCCCAAAGATGGTCACATTTAGTTCTCTGCTATTGCTTTCTTACAGTCATAGAAATATAATAGAACACATCTCTTTCAGTACACCACACAGTAGTCTGTCACTCAGCCTGCGTAGAAGGTTATTCATCTCGATCTCTTTATCTTGCTGTCTCTGTCTCTTTGACACAGGGCAACCTGGTGGCCATCAAACATATGAACAAGAATAGGATAGAGCTGACCAGACAAGTGCTGTTTGAGCTCAAACATGTAAGTCCAGACCAGTGCCAAATGTTTTACTGAATATGTGTGCTGTTATTACTCAACGTTATTATCATAAAGTCTGGTGTGGTTGAACTCTTTACTGTCTCACTGCAGGGGTATTCATTCCATAAGTAAGTGTTTTTTAAAGGATTTATCCAGCTAGATGGTCCCGTGTGGCTCAGTTGGTAGAGCATGGCGCTTGCAACGCCAGGGTTGTGGGTTCGATTCTCACGGGGGACCAGTACGAAAAAAAGTATGAAAATGTATGCACTCACTACTGTAAGTCGCTCTGGATAAGAGTGTCTGTTAAATGACTAATATGTAAAAATGTAGTGGTATTTTCCCTCTTATACTTCATTGATGATTTAGTGTTATTGGCTACTATAGAGAGTCCACTCACCTGATTTAAACCAGTCGCTGATGAAAAGACTAAAGCAGTAAACCCTTTGACCCTCCGGGACTAGAGTTGAATGCCCCTGTCTAGTTCCCTGCATCCTGTTGTTGTAGGCGATCATGTCTCTGTTTATGACCCCTCTGCAACAGCAGTAGTAGAATGAGTCTCTCCCACTGAGGTGGTTAAGCCACTGTAGACTTTGGGGGATGTGAAGGGGATGTGTACTGAATCATTACCAGGTTGTTCACAGGAGGGCCTCTTTCACTCTGCTGCAGGAGATTTCTCATTACTGAACCTGTTCTCCTGCTGCTGTTACAAAGACTCAGATCCTCAAACGTCCTCCAACATCCTCCAACATCAGCTGTGGATGAAGAAAATTGTCTCCATTTTGCGAATTACATTTTATGAGACAGTGATAAGGAAATGGGGAAAAAACAACTAATACTTGAAACACAATGTGGAAAAGGCAAACATTGTTGAAACTACTGAAAAGCCAGACGTCAGTCAGTGCTATTATCTGATCTCTGGTTCTGTATTAATTGAGTTATTATCTGTGTTGGTGGATAAGGCTCTGGGCGGGCTCTCTCTCTCTGTCTGTGTCTGAGCTGTGGATGTGAGACGTGCGGGCCCTGGATGCCTCTACTCAGCGGCGGTGGGCAGGCAGCGAACACAGGAGAGACAACAGTCTGAGCTAGCAGCTCCTCAGACGCCCCGGGGGCCTGATCGGCTGTCAGGCCACCGCTCATGAAAGAGCCAACCAGATGGGGGAGAGATGGGCCTGCCAATGGAAACTTCACCGCTTGTCTTCCAGAGCCTCTCCTCCCCTCCTCCCTTAGCTAGCGTCCAGCATGGGAAATTATATAGGTCAAAGGGTATGCTAACTTCTCCTGAGTCGTGAAACTGGAGCGACTGACTCCCAGGTTTTGATGTTACAGTAGCTGTCACTCACCTCTGTTTGAAACGGCCCCAGACCAAAACACACTGTACAGGTTATGCTCGCTGTTTGTAGAAGTTTCATGCTGCTCAGAGATATTATGTACGTCCTCCCTGCCAGGGCATGGATGTATTGAAACCGAGAGGATATGTGGACTGGATTCAATTTGCGTGTCTCTTTAAAAGATTCCTTCACTCTGTTGTTTATACATACACAGCATATGGAACTTTGAAATACAGCGCTCACGGTGATTTCCATGACACGCCCAAACGTTATTCATAGGATTTTGTTTTGTACATTTTATTTGACATGATTCATTTATGGACTAGATCCCATGTAGTGCATTTACACGTTTGCCTGCTATGCACTCATTTTATATCCAGTACATACTTTCAACACCTCCACATTTTTTCACATTCTGTGGACTTTCACAACACTGCCTCATTCATAACCTCTCTGCTCAATTTATTCACTGGATGGCCTATGAGTGAATGCTATACTCAACACGTAGAAAAGACACTGTGCCAAACCTGCTAGCTGTAAATAGACTATTCTGATGAGGTTCTGTCGTATTTGTTAGCTTTTCTAGAAAAGCAAATCCATATTTTAGCATCTATTGCTATATAATCTTGAGAGATATAGCTAGAATGATATAATGATTGAAATTCTATTTGTTTGGTTACAGATGAGAGATGTGCAATTCAACCATTTAACCAGATTCATTGGTGCCTGCATTGACCCTCCCAACATCTGCATCGTGACTGAATATTGTCCCAGAGGGAGTCTTCAGGTAAGACCTCACAATCATTACATTTAATGGAATTTTAGTTGTATTGCATGTTTTGTCTAGTATGACTACTTGGTCCAATATAATATTAAAATGACTATTCAGTGTTGTCTTACTAATGGTTTATTCATTCATACTCTTTCAGTAAATGTATGGTTTAAAATGCCCTGACTGAGAGACATTTGGAAACATACTCTTGACTTTCATGTTCAGTTTGAAATGCCGGCCTGATGCACTAATACTATTTAACTGTCAGAAAAGTAAGAATGTGAAATGATGTTAAACTTTTAGCAATGGCGCTTATTATGTGAAAACACTTTATACTGACTCTTATTGTAAAAATGTGTTACTGTTTAAAAGACAGATACATGTGATGTAGCAAGATGACGCATATGAATAGGATTGAAGAAAGTGTTCTTTTACTTTTAGGACATTTTGGAGAATGAGAGCATCAATCTGGACTGGATGTTCCGCTATTCACTCATCAATGACATAGTCAAGGTATGTGTCCTTCACCTACTTACGCTCTATATTGTGGTAAATATAAAGGGAATCCATGTGTGTAGCCAGGTTACATGTCGCTGTAAGATAGCAGCCAACAATACTATGTTTGTAACTGCAGTTTGGTTGTTTTGTGGTCACATGGGTATTGGAATCGAACTTCATATGACCTAAAACTTGGACAGCAACATAATCACAATCTCACCACAAAATTCCTTCCACTTAATAAAAAGTCATCATCCATATATTTTCAATAGTTATTTATAGCCTGCTCTAACAAAGTTTTTTGTTGTTGTTGGAAATCAATATCTTAGAGAGATACTATATTGGTGAAGTACATGGATAATGGAGTACACCAACCAAATTGCTGTTAAAATAACAGTCCTTCAAGCTGGCAACAACAGGGACCTTCTGACAAGCAAAATAACCTATAAGCCACATTCTGATACACAAGCGCCTGAAAATATTAGACGTATACATGAGAGTGCAGTATCCTTTTGAGTCCCCGTAGAAATATTATGCACATTAATTCTCACTATATATTAATACTATCTGAGATACCTACTGCAGCCCTCATCCTCCACATACAACACCCGTTCTGCCAGTCACATTCTGTTAAAGGTCCCCAAAGCACACATCCCTGGGTCACTCCTCTTTTCAGTTTGCTGCAGATAACACTCAAACTGTACAGTTCCATCTCTTCATTCAAGGACACTCTTACTGACAGTTGTGGCTGCTTCTCGTGATGTATTGTTGTCTCTACCTTCTTGCCCTTTGTGCTGTTGTCTGTGCCCAGTAATGTTTGTACCATGTTTTGTGCTGCTACCATGTTGTGCTGCTGCCATGTTGTGTTGCTACCATGTTGTTGTCATGTTGTGTTGCTACCATGCTGTGTTGTCATGTGTTGCTGCCATGCTATGTTGTTGTCTTAGGTCTCTCTTTATGTAGTGTTGTGGTGTCTCTTGTCGTGATGTGTGTTTTGTCCTATATTTTTATTTTTAATCCCAGCCCCCGTCCCCACAGGAGGCCTTTTGCCTTTTGGTAGGCCGTCATTGTAAATAAGAATTTGTTCTTAACTGACTTGCCTAGTTAAATAAAGGTTAAATAAAAATAAAAATAATACCACAGGAGTTCCAATGTGAAATGTAAAACGACTGTACTTGAAACACTTCTATGCAGAATTGTTATTACATTTCCATTTCGATCAAACTCAAAATACATATTTTCCACATGATCAGTATGTGTTCATGTATGCTGTACTGTAGGAATAATGTATTGAACGGTACATTTCATGCTTGCTCTGCCAGGGAATGAACTATCTGCACAACAGCTACATCGGCTCCCATGGAAATCTGAAGTCATCTAATTGTGTGGTGGACAGTCGATTTGTGTTGAAAATTACGGATTACGGACTGGCCAGTTTCCATTCATCATGTGAAAACGACGACTCGCACGCACTCTATGCAAGTAGGTCAACATTGTCAGCGGAGGTGATCACTTTGCCTCTTCACCAATGGAAGAAAACTAAATGGAGGATTGGATGGAGGAGAAGATGTTCAGTGGATAATGTGAGTTTCTGTGTTTCCAGAGAAGCTGTGGACGGCCCCAGAGTTGTTGATCTACGACAGACACCCTCCACAGGGCACCCAGAAAGGAGACGTGTACAGCTTTGGCATCATACTCCAGGAGATAGCCCTGAGGAATGGACCCTTCTATGTGGAGGGCATGGATCTGAGCCCTAAAGGTAAAACGAATTATGCTAATAAACACCATTATAATGAAATGTTGACATTTGAGTCATTTAGCAGATGCTCTTATCCAGAGAGACTTACAGTTAGTGTATTCTTCTTAAGATAGCTTGGTGGGGCAGCAACATATCTCAGTCATTGTAAGTACATATTTCCTTAATAAAGTAGCTATCAGCAAAGTCAGTGCTAGTAGGGAAAAGAAAGGCATGTGCGAGTGTTAGTTTAAGAAAGGCAAGGGTGCTGTGGGGTTATTTAAGATACTCTTTGTAGATGGAGGAGTTCAGAAGTTTTCGGAAGATGGGCAGGGTTGGGGTGTCGGGTTTGAGCATAGCCTGAAGGTAGGGAGGGGCAGTTCCTCTTGCTGCTCCGTGGGCAAGTACCATGGTCTTGTAGTCGATGCAAGCTTCCACATGGCTGACATATTGAACAATCAATTGAACAACAAGTAATTACGTGTTGGGCAATTCCATGGTAACGGAATTATGCTTTGATTCAGTTCTTTTCACTTTAAAATGTATGCCAAACAAAAACATTGATATCAACTCTATGCACAAGGACTACAACTCTATGCACAAGGACTACTTTTAAGTTTCCACTGAAAAAAAACGTTTGTAGCGAAATTACGGTAAAATCTCCCTCAGATCTTTATGCAACCACGTTTTCCAAAAACTCTTAAATATTTGCAGAATGGGTTGTCCGCTATGACATGGCACCTTGAGTTTGAAAAAAATATATTTTGATTATTGAACTACAGTAAGTGAAGTGGATTTACACCCGGTAACAGAATGACGGTAACGGAATTACATCATGGGTCCCTGATCTGTACTACACAGAAATGCATAATTATGGATATGAATGTTTGGACATCACAGTAGAGTACAGTGCAGTACAATACAACACAGCAGAGCAGTGTTCAGGACAGTAGAGTACAGTGAGAGAGAGAGAGAGAGAGAGAGAGAGAGAGAGAGAGAGAGAGAGAGAGAGAGAGAGAGAGAGAGAGAGAGAGAGAGAGAGATAGTAGGAGATATAGATAGATCGCTATATTCTATCTACTTCTAGATCGAATAGATATATATATCTCTCTCCCTTCATCGCGCGCTCTCTGTGAAGCGTCCTATCTCTCGCTCTCTCTCGCTCTCCTCTCTCTACGAGAGAGAATTCCATTACCAAATTCATATTTTTTAAATCATTCATAAACAAAATGTATATCAACAAAATCACTATAACTAACTGGTAGGTCTAAAATTACTTGTTACTTCTGTGAATTTTCATTATCCTCCCTCCTCATGAGGGGGAGAAATGAGAAAATATCTTAAATATATGTGGGTTTTTGGTAACGGAATTACAACGCACAAGGCAATATTTCTTACACTTACTGAAGGTAAACAATTTCTCCAAAATGAAATATACTGAACAAAAATATAAACGCAACAACTTCAAAGATTTTACTGATACAGTTCATATAAGGAAATCAGTCAATTTAAATAAATTCATTAGGCCCTAATATATGTATTTCACATGACTGGGAATACAGATGCATCTGTTGTAGGGTGCGTGGATCAGAAAACCAGTCAGTATCTGGTGTGACCACCATTAGCCTCATGCAGCGCGACACATCTCCTTTGCATAGAGTTGATCAGACTGTTGATTGTGGCCTGTGGAATGTTGTCCCACTCCTCTTCAATGGCTGTGCGAAGTTGCTGGATATTGGCGGGAACTGGAACACGCTGTCGTACACGTCGATCCAGAGCATCCCAAACATGCTCAATGGGTGACATGTCTGGTGAGTATGCAGGCCATGGAAGAACTGGGACATATTCAGCTTCCAGGAATTGTGTACAGATCATTGTGACATGGGGCCGTGCATTATCATGCTGAAACATGAGGTGATGGCGGCATATGAATGGCATGACAATGGGCCCCAGGATCTCGTCACGGTATGTCTGTGCATTCAAATTGCCATCGATAAAATGCAATTGTGTTTGTTGTCCGTAGCTTATGCCTGCCCATACCATTACCCCACCACCAACCATGGGGCACTCTGTTCACAACGTTGACATCAGCAAACCACTCGCCCACACAACGCCATACACACGGTCTGCAGTTGTGAGGCCGGTTGGATGTACTTTTTAAAAGATTGACAATGGTTGAACAGTGTATCTATGCCTTCATTTCCTCCGGTGGGGCTCATGGGTCCTTTTAAATGGAAATGCTCTGTTGTGTCTGTCGCCATTGTTGAGTCAATTACTCTGTCACTTCAAATACTTTAGGCAGCTTGCCTCCTTTTCATCATGACTCAAGTGCCATTATTTCCTCCTAGTCTACGTCATCAGAGTTGGACAACTCCAGTCCTTGGCTTAAGGGCTGCAGTACTGCTGGTTTCAGTTCTCCCAGGGACTTAAGGGGCTTTCACACCAAATTGCGTTTTTTCCAAACTCTGGTGCATTTACCCCCTTAGTTCGTTTCGTTTGGACTGGTGTGAACACTCTATCCGCACTCGGGAGCGCACTAAACAACGCACCGTGGTTCCCTCAAAAAGGGTGGTCCCGGTCTGATTCAATTCTTACCGTGGTGCGGTTTGCTGCAGGTGAGAACGCAGTCCAGACCAAATACAGGAAAATAACCAGAGTCGTGCATTATTATTGGTTGTTTGACTGCGAGCATTTGATGAAATGCACACAGCATCATCAATTGAGATCTCTGAAACATTCTGTGAGTAGCAGTGCATTTATGAGAGCATCCGATGCAGATTTGGGGAGACTGGGCTATACTGAATATAGCCTATTCACGTCGCATTTAAAGCAGCTATTGCACTGTTTTCTCACACATGTTGTGATGCGTCATGTTAATCATAAATGCATTTTTGTCCAATAAACAAATTACTTGCATGGAGAGGTTTTGTTTAAGAATTTTAGTTAGACATTTGGCAATATGAAACCAACCTGACCAAATGAAGAAATTATATTATGTAACAAATATTCGAACTATAGCTCTAAAAACTGTGTGAAAACGCCTTTAATTGATCGATCAATTTCACTGATTTCCTAGAGAATGCGGAACACACACACTAACACACACCCTATCTTGTCTATTACAGAGATTGTGCAGAAAGTGCGAAATGACCAGAGGCCTTACTTTCGGCCCACCACAGACAACAGCTGCCACTGTGAGAAGCTGACCATCCTGATGGACAGCTGCTGGGCCGAGGACCCCGTCGAGCGGCCCGACTTCAGCCACATCAAGATCTACATCACCAAACTAAACAAGTGAGCACTGAGCACCGTTGTGCCCCAAAATGGCTGCCAAGCTCATCTTGTATCAGATACCATGTAGATAATATTTTATTTTGATTTATTTTATCAAGATGTTTGAAAAAGAGAATTGAAAAAGAGAATAATTGCATTAAGTTGATATTATCAAGAGATGCTGGAAAAGGATCTACTATTAAGACTAAATACAATTGTGATGTTTATCACACACAAATCATTTCAGGTTAGAGTGATAGGAAGTCTTCTCCCTCCAAAAGTCTGGGGTTTATATTTATCTTGTTGTTTTTCATGGCTTACGCTATGCATTATTTAGATGCATATTTTGGTTCAGTGGTGTGTGCGTTTATGCATGTAAAAAAGCATGTTTTCCTTGAGCTGGGCAGACCTGCCACTGAGAAATATGTGGTCTACCTGCTGATCAAAAGCTGGAAAACCTTCAAGATGTACAGATGAGGGACCTCGGTGACTAAGAAAACAATGTACTTTATGAGCTGTGGGAGGAAATCAGACCCTGGTATTTGCTTTGTCGCTGGATTAAGCTTTCCTACAATTTTCAGATGTGCCCCATTGGTGCAGAACTGTTTTGATGTTATTCAACGCTTCTGTATTTCTTACAAGTACAAAGGCTTTTTTTTGTAGACTTACTCCTTTTGAATTCTGACAGTTGTGACAGGGAGATCACAACTATGGTTACAAAGGTACTGGTAATTTACCAAAGTTACCAGAATCTTCAGAAATATTGGTAATTAACAGGTAATCTTTGTCAATCTATGGTAATTTATACTTGAATAACTTTTTATTTGTTATTCATATATAGTGTTCATTTTTTTTTATATCTGTGTCCATACTGTCCATGAGTTTATAGTGGATAGACTATATGGTTCATGAGAAAATAGCCTAATTAATTTTTTTAAAGCATCTAATCAATTTTCAATTAACTCTACAATTCTTTCAACTACTTTTTTCACAACTGCAACCAGTTTGGCGCCAAAACATTTACAAGGATATTTCATGCTGAAACCCTCATATTAAACACCAATGGTATTAACTATATAGGTTGATGGTTTATACAGTGCCTTCAGAAAGTATTCACACACCTTTACTTTTTCCACATTTTGTTGTGTTACATCCTGTATTTTAAATTGATTACATTTAGATTTTGTGTCACTTGCCTACACACAATACTCCATAATGTCAAAGTGGAATTATGTTTTAAGACATTTTGACAAATTAATTAAAAATGAAAATCTCAAATGTCTTGAGTCAATAAGTATTCAACCCCTTTGTTATGGCAAGCCTAAATAAGTTCAGGAGTGTGCAAAGCTGTCATTAAGGCAAAGGGTGGCTATTTGAAGAATCTCAAATATAAAATAGATTTGGATTTGTGTAACACTTTTTTGGTTACTACATGATTCCGTATGTTATTTCATCGTTTTGATGTCTTCACTGTTATTCTACAATGTAGAAAATAGTACAAATAAACCCTTGAATGAGTAGGTGTTCTAAAACTTTTGACCGGTAGTGTTATTAGGTGATGTTAACTGAATAGAAAGTTCTGATATTTTTCATTCAGTATGGCTACAAATGAATGGGTATGTCATCTTTCTGTCTGTTTTCAACACAGGGAGGGCAGTACCAGTATTCTGAACAATCTGCTGTCCAGAATGGAGCAGTACGCCAACAACCTGGAGAACTTGGTAGAGGAACGAACGCAAGCCTACCTGGAGGAGAAAAGAAAAGCAGAAAATCTACTTTACCAGATCTTGCCACAGTAAGAATAATAATTATTCCGTTTCATCTTGCACTATTATCCTCATTATCAGTCTGAACTTCTGCTTATCAAACTGAGAAAATGAGGAGACTATTTTCTGTATCGTGCTGTGCCACCTAATCATTGTTCAAATTCCAAGGCATGAAAGATACACATTCACAGTTAAGCAGAGGAGATGAAAGGGCAAGGCAAGATGGGAGCTGACAAGCTAACTTCTCATTAACCAGAACTAGGAGGAGAAATGCGATAGGATGCTAAGCACCTCTGATAACACGAAAGCAGCTAACGACAAGCCATGTCCTCCATCTATTTAAGCTGTCTGTCTCAGCGCCGTAGTCATACTCATTTATCCTCCCATTGTCTGCCCAAATGTCTCCCCCCAACTTTAAGCCATTTTGACAGACAGAAAATGGCCTGAGAGAACCGAGAGATACCTTCTCTCACTGCAGAATTCAGATAATTTGTCGTGGATTAACCTAGCTGCTAGTGCTACACTGTGCCTTTGGCTCTTTACTGTACTTTAAAATATTGGTGAACAGGAAATGATACTGATACTGGTAGAATCTACTTATAACTTCCCTTACTTATTGTGGATCGTAGCTGCCAAGCTTACTGTCACTGTTGATTTATAGCAAACGATAACCTTATCTCTTAAGCACTGTATAAGCATTTTGTTCATTGTGGTTTTACTTACTTTGTGTTCTCTTGTCCACAGCTCAGTTGCAGAGCAGCTAAAGCGAGGGGAGACGGTCCAAGCAGAGGCGTTTGACAGTGTGACAATCTACTTCAGTGACATCGTGGGCTTCACGTCAATGTCAGCTGAGAGTACACCACTGCAGGTAAACAATTGTCAGTAGAGATATTCACTCCTAACCAACAACAGGTGCAGACCTTACACAGTAGCTATCCTATACCAACCAACAGCAGGAGCAAATCCACAACATGATTTTGCACTTTGAATCTTACTGTATGACCAGTCAGTTTTGCTAAGTAAAATGCACTCAATATGTATTGAGTCAAAGTATCAATTCACCACGGGAAATTAGAGACTTCCTGTAAACTCTTCCTCAAGACATTTGAAGGTAGTTGACAAGGAAACTTGAAAATATGCTGGTCCAACAGCTCATTATTGGAAGAGAAGAGAATATGAAGAGGAAAAGTAGAGGAGCTTATTTGTTACTTATACCGACCTCACTCATGCAGAGTCTATTAGAGCACCTACCGTATGTCTCATAGTTACAAATCATTCCCACACAGAGGCCACAACTCAAAATAGTATTATTATGAGTAGCTGAGTTGACGCATTGCTGAGTCACTGGGTCCTGTAGCTGCTATGAAATGTCTTCTCTCTCATGAAGAAGAAGATGAAGATTTCAAGACCACTCATATAATTGAGACTCCCTTCACAAGGGTCTAAAGTACTGTATGATGAATGGCTGACGGGATGGTTGTAATGGTCTCAATGGTTGTAATAGTTTTAAGTGCAGTGCCTCAACATGTTATTTTCTACAGACATTTTGGTTGTTCCGAATTCTGAAATTCATCCAGAGGAACCAGGTTTTCTTCTTGATGCAACTGAATTCAGACAAAGTCTTACTGGAGTGTTTATTCTAAAATTGTAAAGACACGTCAGTCTTCATATCACATCCAATAACTCTGCATGAGCGATAGTTTGTACTTAGCGAGTGGTACACCCAAACTGATCTATTCTATTTATCCAGCAGAAGCTACTTACAAGTACAGTCATACATCTTACCTTTCATCAAATGTATTTTAATGTAGCTCAGAGCTAAGAATCCAACCACTAGCTTTCAGTGGCGATGTATTGTGTGTAATATATTCAATGTCACTTATATTCTACGCACTTGATTTTCAGGTCACAGGTCTATTCAATTAAGACTACAAATCAGACGGTATTCTTTCACATTAGTGTAGCTTTGAGGTCTAGGTATCTCACCTACCAGTTAGTGCTCTATTTAATTAAAATATATAATTATATTTATCAATTTTTCCCTAGATTAAGTCGTAATGGTTTAAGAAATTATGCTAAGCCCCTCTGAAACTTAAACTAGAACTAAGACTGTTTTCTGAGCCCCATTTCTCTCTCCATAAGCCACTGAATCTCCTAACGTGACCAATAGCCCCTCAAAGGAATTACAATATACAAACAGTTATTTGATTAGCCCTCCTGTAGCTCAGTTGGTAGAGCATGGCGCTTGCAACGCCAGGGTTGTGGGTTCGATTCCCACGGGGGGCCAGTATGAAAAATGTATGCACTCACTAACTGTAAGTCGCTCTGGATAAGAAACACTTCATATTTTGAATAAACAGCTGATGTGTATTACTCTTCAAATTCCGAAGAAATATTGTCAAAATTTGTTCCCAGTATTTTATCTGTTGCGTTGTTTTACTCATGCAAGCACATTTCTCAGTAAGCTGAGGTTCTGGGCACTTGTCCAAGGCGGGGGGAGCAGAAATATTTTAATCTGACTGGGGAACCATTGGAAGTTCATGCAGAAACACATCTCAGCCAATCACGGGGGCAAACCAAATGGAACATGCCTCATGAACACACACAGTGGAACTTATTATCTTTGCACACTATCTTTGAAATTGCTTTGTTTCACAAATGTTTGCCACTAGCTGAAGAAGCATTTCTAAAATGGAGACTGAGGGAGCAGGAGGATAACAGTTATATGGTTTAATGGTGGTGTTTGCGATTGTTTTACCCTTAAACCATTGTTTCTAGTTTACCTGAGCACTGTAGCTAAAGTATGTTTTTACTCTCCATAGGTTGTGACAGTACTGAATGATCTCTACACTTGCTTTGATGCTATCATCGATAATTTTGATGTGTACAAGGTAAGTCAGGGTAATCATGTTTTGTAATGTAAATATGTTTATTTTATATATAATCTCCTGTTTCAACCTACTAACGTTTTGTTGTCATGTATATCTGAGGTGGAGACCATTGGTGATGCGTACATGGTGGTGTCAGGGCTTCCAGTCAGGAATGGTCAACTACACGCAAGGGAGATAGCTGGGATGTCCTTAGCCTTACTAGAACAAGTGAAAACATTCAAGATTCGTCACAGACCCGAAGACCAACTACGGCTAAGGATAGGAATCCACACGGGTATAATTTCACATGGAGTTTGAAATGATCGTTAAAATGTCTTATGTTTAACTACTGTTGGAAGCTAGATGTTTGTTTTTTAACCAATTGAATTAATCTGTGTTTTTGGGCACTGCCCAATCCTACTCCCGATCCTTGGCATCCATATAGTTTCCACCCAAAACACCTCTAATAAATCATACAAATATCAATCTTTCAATACCTCCTAAATGTTACATGATCTGCCCTAGCCAATGACAGTTTATTTAATTCTATGACAAATAACTTAATTATGTAATGACACAAAATGATTTATTGTATGGTCAATAGTTGGCTAGCTAAGAAGTAATTTGTGATTATATTGCCCACTAATGTATCCTGCCTCATGATTGCATGGGGCTTTTGCTCAGTAATTGTTATAAACTGCTGTGAATGGTTATGACAGTTGATGACAATGTCTAGGTTTTAAGACATACAATATTTCAGTTAAGAAATCTCTGGAGATATCTCCAGTAGCTACAATATTTGGACAGGATGAACAAATACAAGCTGTATTGCACGCAAAGGCCAAGCTTTGAGGGTTTTTTCATAGTGCTTGGACACCATTATCTCATGCAGGCAATATTTATATTCTTATTCAAACACTTGATGTGAACATCATAACTGATAGGTCTTTAAAGATTGTGTGTGGGAGGTGCCTGATCCTGTCCTTGTGTGAATACATTGTTTCTGAGTTCAATCATATTTGTATCATGCTTTTAAGTACACTAAACGTATCATGAGGTTCTGGTGATGAAAGAAATTGTTAATCCATCTACAGTATGCTTTTCCATGGCGTATATTTCCAGTAAATTTCACTGCCTTTTGTTCTGTACAGGACCTGTCTGTGCTGGGGTGGTGGGTCTGAAAATGCCCAGATATTGTTTATTTGGAGATACTGTCAACACAGCATCTCGGATGGAGTCGAATGGAGAGGGTGAGTTTCAGATTTGGATCTCTGTTTTCCTATTTTCTATTTTGGTTGCCGTCAGCGCTTTAACACTTTAAACTATTAATATGGAAATGTTGCCGCATGATACAGTGTCACATTCTGGAATCCAGTTGGGACAATAATATGAATTACTACCTCATCTCTGTACCCCACACATACAATTATCTGTAAGGTCCCTCAGTTGAGCAGTGAATTTCAAACACAGATTCAACCACAAAGACCAGGGAGGTATTCCAATGCCTCGCAAAGAAGAGCACCTCTTGGTAGATGGGTAAAAAAAAACAGACATTGAATACCCCTTTTGAGCATGGTGAAATTATTAGTTACACTTTGGATGGTGTATCAATCCACCCAGTCACTACAAGGATACAGGCATCCTTCCTAACTCAGTTGCCAGAGAGGAAGGAAACCGCTCAGGGATTTCACCATGAGGCCAATGTTGACTTTAAAACAGTTACAGAGTTTAATGGCTGTGATAGGAGAAAACTGAGGATGAAATATTGTACAATCCAGGTGGGCAAAGCTCTTCGAGACTTACCCAGAAAGACTCACATCTGTAATTGCTGCCAAAGTTGATTCTAACATGTATTGACTCAGGGGTATGAATAAATTTGATATTTCTGTATTTCATTTTCAATACATTTGCAAAAATGTCTAACAACATGTTTTCACTTTGTCATTATGGGGTATTGTGTGTAGATGGGTGAGAAAAAATAAATATTTAATCCATTTTGAATTCAGGCTGTAACACAACAAAATGTGGAATAAGTCAAGGGGTATGAATACTTTCTGAAGGAACTGTATGTTTCAGCTGACACAAACTAAGACAATTAAGTATTCATTATTTGCTGTTAATTATGTGGTATTTGCTTGGATTTGGATTTTGTCTTTTTTCGTCTGTCGAGCATTCCCTGTTGTATTGGGCTTATGCAACTGTGTTGTGAAAGACTGATTTCCCGTCATTATTTGTCTTGACTAAATCTGACTAATGTCTTGTGTCTGAGAATCCATTACCAAAAATTCTGGACTAGCTCTTTGCACATACTTCCCTGTAAGAAACGAAGCATCAAGGGATATGGGATATTTATCATCACAAAGCAACAGAGGGGATGGCGGTTGTCATCATAGTTTAAGAGTGGTTATCTGGACTGGTATTACTGGCAGCAGTTCTTAACTGGTGTAGTGGTAGTGGGACCACTGGTGCTGTGTCGGCCAGGATTCTTTGTGAGTGACTCATCACATTATTGATTAACCCACTCACTTCCTGCTCACTTCCTGCTGTGTGCTTTCACGTCCACTGATAAATAATTAATAACACTTATACCCATAGTGATGAACTGTATACCATAAAATATCCTATAGCGGTAGGAATCACCTCTGGGACTGCACTGTCAACAACTGTTTCTAGGGACTATTTCTACAGCACCAGGAAGATTTCACTGTTCATTTAGACTTTTGACCTTCACCTAACATGCACAGATCATCCACTTGGTTGACATACAGTATGTATGTGCACTGTAATTGTTATGATCTACCACAGTGCATATGGCAGAGGATAAATGTTTCATTAATGCAACTCGGTGTCACTCCCTGCAAAGCACTCACTGTGATTGTCTATTGTCCCATTGATGTGTTTCACAGCCTTGAGGATCCACCTCTCCTCAGCAACCAAAGAAGTGTTGGATGAGTTTGGCTATTTTGAACTCCAAGAAAGAGGGGAGGTAGAAATGAAGGTAGGGCCACAATGAATAATGCATGTGTTGTAATCAGCATTATCTGTAATGGCTTCATGTATTCAATTGTCTGATAAATGAATATAATGGAATAAAATAAAATAGAATACAAAAGTGGTTTGTCACATACTGGAAAGGTGCAGTGAAATGTGTTGTTTTACAGGGTCAGCTATAGTAAAATGTGGTCTTGTGATTCCCATTCTGTTTATTCTATCTCTTGGTGGAAGAATGCAGTGCATGTCAGTAGATTTGCAGCTCTGGGTCTCTCAGATTACGACTGTCGTAAAACAGATGGCTGTACTCTCCTGTCGAAATGGAAGAAAACCATAAAGTCTGGTTATGAAGAGTAGCATACTCTCTCTAGGGATGCCAGATGAGTTTTAACAGGTCCAGCAAATGCCAGGGTCACCCTTTAAGGAAGAGAAGACCTTTTGTGTATCTACTGTATCACTCCCACTCGTCTCCATTGATGAGCCTATTGATTTCTGTGTTTTTCCAGGGCAAAGGCAAAATGAGAACCTATTGGCTTGAGGGGGAGAAGACTGATGTGTACGTTATCTGAGAGGCCTGCTGATAGCGTGTACCCACAGTGGAGACAACCACAGAAGAGGCTACACAGTGGCACAGCCAGCCACTGCTTTATTTGTTCTAGAATAAGTCCTAAAGGTGATTCCCTCCCCAAAATAAACAATATGTACTGAATTAGACCTTTTTGGAAAAGAAGGGATGTTTTAATGGTATGTTTATAATACCTGTGTACTGTTACTGCAAAAAAACTGTAAAGATGTTTTGTATGGAGAATCTTTCTGTCCTGAGATTGAGTACTTTTCGATTATGATCAATTCTAATTGTTTTGTGCTTTCTATATTAAGATTTGTATAATGTGTTTGGAAGTCAATTCTGTATTAAGATTATCATACAGCGTTCATAACGGATGGGGGCACAGTGTAATAAATGTCAATGTAGAGGTCCGAGTTCCACAGTGTTGTTATACAGTACAATATGATATATGTATATATGTACACTACCGGTCAAACGTTTTAGAACACCTACTAATTCAAGGGGTTTTCTTTATTTTTACTGTTTTTTACATTGTAGAATAATAGTGAAGACATCAAAACTATGAAATAACACATATGGAATCATGTAGTAACCAAAAAAGTGTTAAACAAATCAAAATATATTTTATATTTGAGATTCTTCAAATAGCCACCATTTGCCTTAATGACAGCTTTGCACTCAAAGGATCAAAGGATCCTGGCGCACGGTTCACGAAGACTAGACTGTTGTCATCACAGTTCCATGATTAGTGAGGATTATTAGGGTAGATTTATAGGACTGCTGTTCAACCACTATTGTACACTTTTCTCACCTTCCAATATTTCATGGATTGAACAATTGAATATGGTAACTTTCAGGATGAATCAAACCACTGTATTTTTGATTCACCAATATACACTGAGTGTACAAAACATTAGGAACATGTACATGACATAGACTGACCAGGTTAATCCAGGTGAAATCCACTTCAATTAGTGTAGATAAAGGGGAGGAGACAGATGAATCCTTAAGAGTCTATTGACGCACCCGTGCATCAATCTAAGTAAAATAATACAAATAAAAAATCTCTCAGTTTAAGACAGATATTTGCATGGGCTGCGTCTCAATCCGCCCCATCCGTCTATGTCGGCCTTCCGCGTCTGGTGGAAGGTGGCTGAGCTACAGCGGTGTTTGTCAGACCATGAGACAACCCGAGAATCAGTCTTCTCACAAGAACGTCTGTAGTGTCTGAACTAATGTGACCACTCTAGATGAGACTCTCACGAACACAGAGGTGTTTTCCGTTTTGCTCTACGACCCCCACAAGTGCCACGGGACTCATCTGAAGTCAGTAACGCTGATATGCCAACTTCTGTCTGTAGTGTACATTTTCTAAGTCTGAATCGGGCCCTTATCAACCAAGTAACAGTGTCACATAAGTCTGTCATCACTTATGTCTCCCCTTCAGGGAGTGTAAAGTGTGCAAATCTGTACATGTGTGTGCATTCAGCTGTTTAAATTAAATTATACTGTAGAATTCAGTTGAAGGATGAATTTGAGTAATTGTTGAGTCATCAAAGGCCCCTGGTTTTATCTTTTGAAGAGAGGGCATTAGCATTTTGTCACAATGTCATTAGCATTTTTGATGGAATTTGGGAGGAGAGACAACAACAACAACCAAGAAGTAAGCTTTTGACGGGGGAATGCACTGAAGGAATTTCTAATGCAGGTATGTAGGCCTACTGTATCACAAGCACATAGTTCACAAGATGGTTCAACATTTGTCTCCTCTGACAAAAGCACCACGTCCATTTTAATAAAGCAGAGCAGTGTTCCCTTCACAGGGAAATACAGAGAATTAAGTACTGTAATACATTTTTTATAAACTTAAACAAATACACAGTTATGGATAGATCAAGACAGACATTATTAATTGAATCGAATCAAGGGGAAAATTAGTAGTCAAGTTTATTCAAGGCAATATTTACTTTATCACAGTTAATTTGAATTAGGAGGCAATATATTTCACTTGGCTGGAAGCATCTGTTTCAGACACCAATTGTTTCCCCCTCTAATCCCATGAGGTAATGAAATGTTTGGTTGGAAAAGCTGCATAAATGTAGTCTAAAATGACTTGTTGCCATAGCTACCTCCTAATCTCTGCTAAAAGCAAGAGGAGAGAGGAACACCATGTAGAATGGTCTGTTGATTGACAGAACACAAATCTGAATCGGAGCCATGCTCTCTAAAGTAAGGAGGCTGCATGAACATCAATATTTCTGACATCTGTAAGGCGGAGGCTTCTGTGTGCCTCTCTTCTTCCTAACGGTGGAAAAACACTTTCCTCATCTCAGAAAACAAATGGGTTTTCTTGTCACTTGTCCAAGGACAATAGCCAGAACCATTTTTGCACAGCGCAGGAGAAAGTGGAAAATGTGGCTTTCTGTTGTTCAGCACTGCTCAATTGTGGTAATTACGAGTTGCAAAGGATGAGAAGAAAACCATGGGAGAAAATAACCTACAAACAAAAATAAAAGCATGAACAAACAGAGATAATATTCTTAATACAAAGCCCTGGTATGAATAAAAAGATAACAACTTTAATTCTGCAAGGAGGCAAGACCCTGCTTGTGTTAAATAATTTGTGCAGTATTTACACAATTAATACAGTGGGGAAACAAAGTATTTAGTCAGCCACCAATTGTGCAAGTTCTCCCACTTAAAAAGATGAGAGAGGCCTGTAATTTTCATCATAGGAACACGTCAACTATGACAGACAAAATGAGAAAAATAAATCCAGAAAATCACATTGTAGGATTTTTAATGAATTTATTGGCATATGATGGTGGAAAATAAGTATTTGGTCAATAACAAAAGTTTCTCAATACTTTGTTATATACCCTTTGTTGGCAATGACACAGGTCAAACGTTTTCTGTAAGTCTTCACAAGGTTTTCACACACTGTTGCTGGTATTTTGGCCCATTCCTCCATGCAGATCTCCTCTAGAGCAGTGATGTTTTGGGGCTGTCGCTGGGCAACACAGACTTTCAACTCCCTCCAAAGATTTTCTATGGGGTTGAGATCTGGAGACTGGCTAGGCCACTCCAGGACCTTGAAATGCTTCTTACGAAGCCACTCCTTCGTTGCCCGGGCGGTGTGTTTGGGATCATTGTCATGCTGAAAGACCCAGCCACATTTCATCTTCAATGCCCTTGCTGATGGAAGGAGGGTTTCACTCAAAATCTCACGATACATGGCCCCATTCATTCTTTCCTTTACACGGATCAGTCGTCCTGGTCCCTTTGCAGAAAAACAGCCCCAAAGCATGATGTTTCCAACCCCATGCTTCACAGTAGGTATGGTGTTCTTTGGATGCAACTCAGCATTCTTTGTCCTCCAAACATGACGAGTTGAGTTTTTACCAAAAAGTTATATTTTGGTTTCATCTGACCATATGGCATTCTCCCAATCCTCTTCTGGATCATCCAAATGCACTTCAGACGGGCCTGGACATGTACTGGCTTAAGCAGGGGGACACGTCTGGCACTGCAGGATTTGAGTCCCTGGCGGCGTAGTGTGTTACTGATGGTAGGCTTTGTTACTTTGGTCCCAGCTCTCTGCAGGTCATTCACTAGGTCCCCCCGTGTGGTTCTGGGATTTCTGCTCACCGTTCTTGTGATCATTTTGACCCCACGGGGTGAGATCTTGCGTGGAGCCCCAGATCGAGGGAGATTATCAGTGGTCTTGTATGTCTTCCATTTCCTAATAATTGCTCCCACAGTTGATTTCTTCAAACCAAGCTGCTTACCTATTGCAGATTCAGTCTTCCCAGCCTGGTGCAGGTCTACAATTTTGTTTTTGGTGTCCTTTGACAGCTCTTTGGTCTTGGCCATTGTGGAGTTTGGAGTGTGACTGTTTGAGGTTGTGGACAGGTGTCTTTTATACTGATAACAAGTTCAAACAGGTGCCATTAATACAGGTAACGAGTGGAGGACAGAGGAGCCTCTTAAAGAAGAAGTTACAGGTCTGTGAGAGCCAGAAATCTTGCTTGTTTGTAGGTGACCAAATACTTATTTTCCACCATAATTTGCAAATAAATTCATTAAAAATCCTACAATGGGATTTTCTGGATTTTTTTTTCTCAATTTCTCTGTCATAGTTGACGTGTACCTATGATGAAAATTACAGGCCTCTCTCATCTTTTTAAGTGGGAGAACTTGCACAATTGGTGGCTGACTAAATACTTTTTTTCCCCACTGTATACGTGCAGAGACTAGACCTAATTTAAATAATAAACAGAGCAATATTCATGTTATGGAAAATCATTTAATACCACTGTTCATAAAATGCACGATGTGTCCAATGCTCACATGAGTAACAGCTTAATTCTCAGGTGTGTACAGAATAGGCTTGTCATCCATGGGTTCACTGATAGGTGTGCTGAAGGTGGCGTTCTTCTTGAATGGGGTATCCGTGGTTCTCACCGCTGTCACACCCTGAGACACGGCAGAAACATGGTACAGGACATCATGTTTTCTTGCTGTTGTTTAAAAATGTTTTCGTGTAGACTAGAGTATTATCAGACTACAGTGAAATGTATGCCAGGTATGCTATTATTACAGTATCTGCTGCTGGTTTAAGGCTTAAATTAACTGAACTGAGTTAAAAAGTGGATGAGATGCAGCATCTCATTCAGAATTCGACAGTACCCTGTACGAGCTGTGCTCTTTAAAGTCTAATGGCAGAATCTAATAAGATGTCTTATTGATGACTGTAAGTCGCTTTGGATAAAAGCGTCTGCTAAATGACATATTATTATTATTATTATTAAGGCCTTCTTGAGACCACATTCAAAATGGAGGCTTGTAAATAGTCATCAAATATGACACAAAAATTACAAACATATGCTAAATCCTTTTCATTGGTTCATATCTTACATATCAACAGCCATCAAATACTAAAACTCAAGGGCCAGGTGTCCAATAATAATAAGATGGTTTTATTGCGAGAATAAAAGACAGATTGTGCAGCAGAGATTAAATACAGTGGTAGGAGTGGGTCCCAAAGAGTACAAACCTAAGAATACTTAAGAATATAAGGCTATGGTCCTTGATAGGGTAAATAAAATGCTTTTGAAAATGATTGCTTTCTTCACACGCTCATGTAATGTTTTACTGAGGTCTGGGTATGTGGGGGGTCTCTTCTAGCAATGTATTGTATTCTATTTTGTAAGAAGAATAGCCAAGCAACAAATGCTTCACAAATACAGACAGACCACTAACGCCAAAGTCACTTTACTATAGCAGAGTAAATGGCACATCTCACAAAAGCTGACTTAATAATTGAAAATAATAAAGATGATTTAATGTAACAAAGGCATTTTGTCTAGTGTTGACTATAATGTTAAGCAGCCATCCAGTAATAGTGAAAACATGGTGCTCTCTCCATTTATGATAATGTAGAGAGGGTTATGTAAATGGAGGTGTAATGCAATAATCGGACCAACCTGTATCTGATGATGATTCTCACTCCAAAAGGTAATTGCCTGATCGCTTTTGTAGTCATGCTCCTAATCACAGCAAACCAAGAATGCATTAGAAATGAACATTCTGTTGAAGTATGAGTTGAATAATGCTGATGTCAGTTTTATATGTGCAAGAGAAAGGAAAATTATAAAGGTGGCTAGTCACAAAACAAGGTGTCTCACAAAGAATGGTATGTTGTAATCATGTTCATAGAATATAAATTATTTAGAAGACCTTTAGTGATGAAGGCAGGGAAGGCTGAAAGCCTTCAACTTTGTAGTCCTCTTTGGTAGAGGAGCAGAACTCTGTTTTGTGAGGCTCAGGGTTAAATTCTGCATGCGTCTGCTCACTGTGAGATAGAGGAGGAGGAGGAGGGCCATATCAGCATGAGAACCTACAGCAATATCCTTATCTGTCTCTGCTGCTCTGACATTGTTTTTCCACATTTTCACATTGCTGAACAACTTTAGATTACTATTTTTAAATCAATCAGTAGCTGCATTGCTGTGTGTAAGGTCTATGTAGTGATAAAGGTTAGTTATGCTTAGGCTTACATGATTAGGGCATGAATATGCATAATAATACATTCATTACCATGTGCATCAAAAATAACAACATTGTTACACTGTTATTCTACATTATTCATACAGGTTGTCATAACATACTTATTTGTGGTGTAAACTCCCTGTCTTATCTCTTCATAACTGGTGTCCACAGATCCAGATTTAATTCACACCTTGAGCAGCTTCCAAGAAGTGTTGATATGTTGACATTTACTCTTACTGTTTCCCTACAGCGGCCTATTGCCACGGAAAACAACAGTAATTCATTATTCTGTCTGGAATCTATTAAAGGTTCTATGACTAATGCTACTTATTCAAATTGATGTTATTTTTTGTCATAATAAACTAGTTAGAGACTTGTTAATGTTCTTTGAATTCAACTTTGAGCGTTCATTAAAAGTCTAGTTCAGTTTTGTGACTGTGTGGTTTTGTTTGGCACAGGTCAGTGACTATGAGTTGAGACTCTCCCCTCCAACAACCAGTTTTAACCGTCTTACCTCCCTTTGTTCAAAGCACTTGTTCGGGATGTTAACCACATTGTTGGGGATACATTCTATTAACCACATTACAATGCAAATAAATGTTAAATCAGATAATAAAGTCTAATCAAAAAGCAGAACGTTTTCATAGAACTGTAAAACTAACCAAGACTTGTAAATTACATCACTTTCCTCCTACCAATTCCGCTCAAGACATGGATTGAACAGTGTTGTGTCACGTCTCGAGCAAGTCACATCCTAAAAAAATTATTGAAAGCTTGAACGTGTTAACATTATGATAACTGTTATGAAATGAAAAGTAGGTAAATTAGGCCTACCTTATTTTCTGGAGCAGATCATTTCCCAAAAGTTCTCCCCTGAGGCCTGAACAAATAAAACAAATAAAAGATGAGCAAAACACACCGAACTCTAAAAGGTTTGAGTGAATTTTTATCAAGTCAGCCAGTGAGACAGCACAACAGTATGCTTCTGAACAGTTTGCACAGTAGTAAGGTCACAGTGTGTTTGAACGTTGTGTGGCATCCACTGAATCTCAAACTCATTCCAGGAAAAATCTATTCAAGGTGAGGCTGGATGTAGGATGTTTCTTGGTGTTCAATGTTCTTATGCTGTACCTACCCCTCTGTCTCACCCCATGACCCTTGGGAGGGGTGAAAGCAGCATTCACTGTGGTGACACCTTGACCTTTGGATGACAGATCCATAGTGAGAATCCCCTTATGTCCCTTTTTGTGGATGTGCACTCTGGGCCTCGCATTGTCAAGGACTGCAGTGGCCTGCTGAATGAATGTAATTCCAAAGATTAATAAAAAGCTGTGCCTTGTGTGACAACATGTTGTTGCTTTCAATGATTTGTAAATAGTTAAAGGAGCGACTTGTACTAATGACCTATTAATGATGGCACTCATATCTAACTGAGAAAACAGGAGGGAGAACATGCGAGGCCTCATATACATTTACATTTTAGTCATTTAGCAGACGCTCTTATCCAGAGCGACTTACAGTTAGTGAGTGCATACATTACACCTGAACTTAGCTACACATGTAGGCCTACCTCTAACTTACATCACTCTCTCTTGCTCTCTCTCACACATACACACGCACACCACTACCAGCTTTCATATTGAGACAACTTTTGCCAAGAAAAAAGTCACCTCCTCTACCCAGTTATACAGTAAACATTTTCCAATAGATTTTTGTTCAACAGAAGCGTCCAATGCAGTCACTATATTTTCATTACAATGCAGACTAGTTAGTAGTTTGAAATCGCTAATTTATCTTGTGAAACCAAGATAATTGAGGTAGCTACCTAGCTAGCTTGCTTTGTAGCTAAATGTAGCTATCACTATTTATTATTCTGTTGTGGAAGTGTAACCATAGCAACTGTAAACAAACGACATCGTGACTTCATTCTAAGCAAATAAGCATAGAGATCCTATAAAATTATATGCAAAGAAGTGACATTGTTGCAGCTGTTTGGCATTTTTTTGTTACAGTAGAGAATGAAGAAGACCACATTCACAGAACTAGCTAGAATTAGATTTAATTTCTATGACCACGTTTGAGCAGTACAAATATCTAACAACAGTTTAAAGTTATAAACATGATTCATGAACACAATAGGAAGTTAGTTAGGCTAATTGGTTTTAGCAGTCTAACTGTATGGAAAATTGTAAATAAAACGTATTTAATATTGCATGGGGTATTGCAAATTCCTTTGATTAAATCCTTGATGTAAAGTTTTAATATCATTTGGCACATAAGGCGCTATATTTTATGTAGCTAACATTTACATCACTCAATGTGTATTTGTGTCCACGCCCTTATTTCAAAACCCTGTTTTCAGTATTTGCACTGTGCAGCTACATGGCATGTAGTCAGTATGTAATCTAAAAGGGTGGATGGATTTGTCCTCAGATGTGCCCATTAGTTGTGCACAAAGCAGCCAGTCATGACAAGTTTTCTCCCAAGACCCTTGGGATGTGGAGAGGGATGGGAGGGTAAACACTGATTCCTAACAGCTGTCCAGAGAATGGAGCAAAATTGAAATGTAGCTTCCTTGGCTATTCACTGGACAGCCATTTTATCAAAAAATGCCAATGCTTTCTGCTCTTGAAGAAACCACATCTCTCTGGCTTAAAAAGTCTGTATGTGTGTGCATGCACGTGTGTGTACGTGTGTGTGTACATGTGTGTGTTAGTGACAATACAGACTGAGGTGTCTCTTGTGAGAGGAAAGACAAATGAAAAGGATATGTAGAGGATGGAAGGTATGGCATGAAATGTATGTGAAATGCATTGTTTTGGTTCCTAGAGAAGAAACGGCCCGAGGTACAATTACAGTGAATAAAGAAGATGCTATTGTGTTAGGAGGCATTATGATGGGAGAAACACTGCCCTGCATGTGTCTAAATCTTGACAATTTAGCAATATTTTTCTCTCCAAAGCATCTCCCCTAGGAATTAATTTCATACATATCAAATCAAATATTATTCCTGATAAAAACATTTAATAAGTATATTGTGTGCAGGATTCCTTCATCCGTATCATCACAATCCAATTCCAAAGGCTGGTTTGCTCATTGTTTTGTAGACTTTCCATTGGTGCACAGAAACACTATCCACAATAGAAATAAGGAAAGGTGAATACAATGGAGGAACACAACTGATGCGCCTCAATTAACGTCAAAGCAAAGTTCTATAATGGAATGCCACAATGTTGAAGATGATGACATAGGAGTAACCCAAAGTTACTTAGAACTCAACTTCATTCTCTACATCTCTGCATGTCCGCAATATTGTAAAAAATCATAGCAATTAGACGGTCGCCATTGCCTAGAACTTTCCGTATATTGTACATGTTATGACACTAGAATGTGGTGCAGTAGTTTTTACTGCTGGCCGGAAACAGTGAACACAATTGCACCTATTTATATTCTGATGAAAACAATGTGTTAATATTCTGTGAACAAAACACTTAACAGTGAATTTTGTATTCACTGATGACATTTGTATTTAAACGACCACACCAGTAGAAATCCACTTTTTCGAGCTGAAAGACGATGGCCAGAGCTTACCCATGATGTTGCACGATTTAAGTCAATAAGTCATTATTTTAGTCAAAGTATGATATATTCGGGCTTGAAGTAACAAATCCGAACTGCCCACTTCGTGCAAATCTATGTGAATGCGGTATATTTTCCTATGATATGACAGACAAATTATTTGCAGCCTAAATTTCATTTCAGGGTTTTAATTGAACGTTACCACCCACCAGCATGGCATTGTTCATTAATCAAAAACAGCTGCAAAGTTATTCCTCTTTGCAACTGAGATGAGCCAAACAGCCATGTGCCCACTTGGCCACCTGAACCATGAAGCAAATTAAAATAGGGGCTAAAAACGTATGTTTTTGAACCTCCACTATTTTAAACATAAAATTATCATAATCCATTGGATTATCATACAGTGGGGCAAAAAAGTATTTAGTCAGCCACCAATTGTGCAAGTTCTCCCACTTAAAAAGATGAGAGAGGCCTGTAATTTTCATCATAGGTACACGTCAACTATGACAGACAAAATGAGATTTTTTTTCTCCAGAAAATCACATTGTAGGATTTTTTATGAATTTATTTGCAAATTATGGTGGAAAATAAGTATTTGGTCAATAACAAAAGTGTCTCAATACTTTGTTATATACCCTTTGTTGGCAATGACACAGGTCAAACGTTTTCTGTAAGTCTTCACAAGGTTTTCACATACTGTTGCTGGAATTTTGGCCCATTCCTCCATGCAGATCTCCTCTAGAGCAGTGATGTTTTGAGGCTGTCGCTGGGCAACACGGACTTTCAACTCCCTCCAAAGATTTTCTATGGGGTTGAGATCTGGAGACTGGCTAGGCCACTCCAGGACTTCTGACGAAGCCACTCCTTCGTTGCCCGTGCGGTGTGTTTGGGATCATTGTCATGCTGAAAGACCCAGCCACGTTTCATCTTCAATGCACTTGCTGATGGAAGGAGGTTTTCACTCAAAATCTCACGATACATGGCCCCATTCATTCTTTCCTTTACACGGATCAGTCGTCCTGGTCCCTTTGCAGAAAAACAGCCCCAAAGCATGATGTTTCCACCCCCATGCTTCACAGTAGGTATGGTGTTCTTTGGATGCAACTCAGCATTCTTTGTCCTCCAAACACGACGAGTTGAGTTTTTACCAAAAAGTTATATTTTGGTTTCATCTGACCATATGACATTCTCCCAATCCTCTTCTGGATCATCCAAAAGCACTCTAGCAAACTTCAGACGGGCCTGGACATGTACTGGCTTAAGCAGGGGGACACGTCTCGCGCTGCAGGATATGAGTCCCTGGCGGCGTAGTGTGTTACTGATGGTAGGCTTTGTTACTTTGGTCCCAGCTCTCTGCAGGTCATTCACTAGGTCCCCCCGTGTGGTTCTGGGATTTTTGCTCACCGTTCTTGTGATCATTTTGACCCCACGGGGTGAGATCTTGCGTGGAGCCCCAGATCGAGGGAGATTATCAGTGGTCTTGTATGTCTTCCATTTCCTAATAATTGCTCCCACAGTTGATTTCTTCAAACCAAGCTGCTTACCTATTGCAGATTCAGTCTTCCCAGCCTGGTGTAGGTCTACAATGTTGTTTCTGGTGTCCTTTGACAGCTCTTTGGTCTTGGCCATAGTGGAGTTTGGAGTGTGACTGTTTGAGGTTGTGGACAGGTGTCTTTTATACTGATAACAAGTTCAAACAGGTGCCATTAATACAGGTAACGAGTGGAGGACAGAGGAGCCTCTTAAAGAAGAAGTTACAGGTCTGTGAGAGCCAGAAATCTTGCCTGTTTGTAGGTGACCAAATACTTATTTTCCACCATAATTTGCAAATAAATTCATAAAAAATCCTACAATGTGATTTTCTGGAGAACAAAAATCTCAATTTGTATGTCATAGTTGACGTGTACCTATGATGAAAATTACAGGCCTCTCTCATCTTTTTAAGTGGGAGAACTTGCACAATTGGTGGCTGACTAAATACTTTTTTTCCCCACTGTAATTTGTCAATTCTCACTTTGAGCTAGTCTGTATTAAAAATACATATATCTGACCATTTTATAAATGGTATAATTGCGTGATATGATAACATTTTGCAAATCCGCTCCCCCCGTCGCACCCAAGATGAATGGTTTTGACCACTAGAGTTTTGCCTCACTACACGCTCCACTTATACATGTCATTTGCGGCGTGCATGATCTTGAGAAAAGCCTTGTAGCCTATCATTTCACTTCCCCTGTGAGAACCATGAACACTTGCTGATTGGCTTTTCTGTACTGCAGCCAAAGCCTGCCAGCAGCCTACCTGTCCATTACAATGTAGAAAAACGCATTTAAATAGTTATCCATATTACCGGAGCTTCATTTTATTATTTCAAACTATTTTTATGGCAGATTTGCGGCTGCAATTAATGGAATATTACAAAAATGTGAAGATAACAATAGATGGCGAAGTCAAAGATAGTCCAGTGGTTTCCATCTGTGTCAAAGTTTTACCTAAATCAAGGCTTATGACCAATCCAGCTCCAGAACCAGCCATAGAGCCAGCTGGCTAATCTAAAGTCGGAAGTTTACATACACTTAGGTTGGAGTCATTACAACTCGTTTTTCAACCACTCCACACATTTCTTGTTAACAAACTATAGTTTTGGCAAGTCGGTTAGGACATCTACTTCGTGCATGACACAAGTAATTTTTCAAACAATTGTTTACAGACAGATTATTTCACTTATAATTAACTGTATCACAATTCCAGTGGGTCAAACGTTTACATACACTAAGTTGACTGTGCCTTTAAACAGCTTGGAAAATTCCAGAAAATGATGTCATGGCTTTAGAAGCTTCTGATAGGCTAATTGACATCATTTGAGTCAATTGGAGGTGTACCTGTGGATGTATTTCAAGGCCTACCTTCAAACTCAGTGCCTCTTTGCTTAACATCATGGGAAAATCAAAAGAAATCAGCCAAGACTTCAGAAAAAAATTGTAGACCTCCTCAAGTTTGGTTCATCCTTGGGAGCAATTTCCAAACGCCTGAAAGTACCATGTTCATCTGTACAAACAATAGTACGCAAGTATAAACACCATGGGACCACGCAGCCGTCATACCACTCAGGAAGGAGACGCGTTCTGTCTCCTAGAGATGAACGTACTTTGGTGTGAAAAGTGCAAATCAATCCCAGAACAACAGCAAAGGACCTTGTGAAGATGCTGGAGGAAACAGGTATAATAGTATCTCTATCCACAGTAAAACAAGTCCTATATCGACATACCTGAAAGGCCGCTCAGCAAGGAAGAAGACACTGCTCCAAAACCGCCATAAAAAAGCCAGACTACGGTTTGCAA